CACACAAGATCGTCTGTTTCTTCATCAGGTCGCGTAGGCACGCCATGTATTTCCAACATATCACGACGAAGATACTGCTTTAATGCCTCGCTGTCGTTTTCGACTTCCTCCAGCTTAATTTCGCACTGTTTAAGCTGCCCTTTCAGGGCATCTACTTCTGATCTCAGGCGCCGGTTCTCCGAAGTTAGATCTTCAGTTGCCTTCTTAGCCTTTTCGAATTTGGCGTCAACAAAAGCTTGGCTTCGTTTAATTTCGTCTATATCATCTTTGTAAAGCTTGAAGTACTTAAGCATCATATCGTGAATAGACTCAGATTGCTCCTTCAACCGTCTTGTCAGAATTACTTCAAAATCCTGAAGACCGGCGGCCATGTTTATTGCTTCGTTGCCATCCCGGAAAGACACACTTTCTTCGGTTTCGGATAATTCCGCTTGTTCTGCTGCCGTCTGATTAGCAGATTGATTTGACGGCTTCTTTTGGCCTTTTTTTGATTTACCTGACATGTTTTAGAACGTTTAGAACTCAAAGAAATGGGGGAGCTCAGAAAAATACGTCTCACCCGTCCGTCACTTAAGAATCATAAGATTCTTAAATAGTGGCTCAGTGTAAGCGTCAAAGCCCTTCTCGCTGATAACTCTAACAATGCGGTTTTGCAATAAGACTAGGCACCTAAGGTGAGTATAGCGTATGTCGACCCCATACTAGAATTATTGAAGATAAGAATAGGCAAGTGCGTAAAGTACACAAAGCTGTCATCCTGTCCTTTAGATTATTTCTTTTTTTTTTTAAAAACATTCATCCTTATGATTCAGCAAGTCACCTCCATTAATTTTCAGACCGTTTATCTGAAGATATTCTTTATCTAAAATCTGTAAAGTAACATACTGCGCTAGTGTAGGCTTATCAAAAACGATGGTATGTCCCTCGCTAACAAATCCTCTTGCTGGTCCTTCAAAGTGTCCACACTGATTGTTAACCTGAAGTTTTTTGTTGCTGTGGTATCCTCTGTCACGTGCTGTGAACCCATCAGGCACAGGTGTCATTCCAGCTCTGACTTCTACATTCCTTAGTCTTGCCCAACAGCCATTTTTACGATTGATAATGGTCACGGACGAAATCAAGACTGGAGAAGGAAATCTCACTTCCAGCCACGGGTGCATCTCGACGTCGGAGTGAAAGTAGAAACAGTCGGTATCCGAAACTTCGCCATCAATTGCACATTTCGGCCCCCAATTATGTAAATTCATCCAGTATACTGAAGATCCTCGAGCTTCGAAGCCCATTTCATCGTTCGGCGCTGTCAGCCACTGCTTTATCAGATTGAATTTCCATTGCACCTGTGTCATAATCGTGACTTGCTCTTGCTGCAAACGGACAGCGTCATTTATCATGTCCGTGGAGAAGGTATCCAGACTATTGATATTTTGAGGCCCAAGGCTTTTGACGCCTGCTTCAATTAGCTCTTTTATCCGCAGTTTGTAACCAAGCCCAATCACGTGGCCATAATTCGACTGATCAATGTGCTTGATGATGTAATCTATGCAAATGCCGCGCACATCCGTCAGATTGATAAAGTCGGCAAACATCAGAACATTTTCAACATTCTCTTCCGTGAGGTTCACGTTTTGAGTGTACAAATATTCAATACAGTTCTTGATTTCGTCATTCGAAAAGCTTGCAAAGGTAGTTTCACCGCAGTTAGAATCGAAGCGGAATAAAGCTACGAAATAGTCGCTTTGCGAAGCAAGAATAAACTTGTGGGATTTAACCTCGACGCCATCTTTGTCTCGGATAGTAAAGTCGTAAAATTGCTCTTCTTCCCTTTTGTTGTGATACGCTCTTACGTTGTTACAGAAGTTCGTGTGACGAGCACTTTCTGTCATTGTCACTTAGAATATTAGAAGCTATGGAAGAACATGAACGCAGTTTTTCGTTTCAGCACTCGATATTTAGATCGACATGAAGATTCTTCCTTAGTTCACCTTTTCAAGTACTGTACTCGACATAAACTGTCACCAAATTGTTTGCTCAAAGTCAATAAGAGCAACAACAACAGCAGTCTCTCTGACACGCTGAACTGGTGTGATTTCAAAACCAGAAGATTCTGGGCCGCGGGGACAATCAGTTCAATACGATTACCTTCAGGCAGCAGAGGTTCATTTACAAGGAAGAATAACACGAGAGAACTTCCTGTCACGTACTAGACTAGATCGTCGAGATCCAGCACTTTGCGTTACGGGCTGCCATCTTGCATGAGTGTCAAAACTACTTATGGGGCGGGGGGCTGTTTGGGAGGAAGCGAGAAAAATAGATTTTTTTTTTCTCGCCCCCTCCCCCTACAGCTATAATCCCCGACGCCGGCCCCCTCGGTACATTTGAAAATCAAGATGGCCGCCATTAACGGTAAGACGCGCTACATCTCCTCGATCTCACGAAAAAACAGGGGACTGTGAACAGTCTAGTCACGTACTTTATCAAACTGGTTTGACAATTACTATTTTTAGAACATGGAAATGTTTTTGCTGTTGTCATTATTTTTCCTGTTCTCAGCATGCGGATCAATATGTGCAACGCCATCACATTTCTCAAAAAAAAAGGAAAGCCCTAATGACTTTCACTTTCCAGTGCTGCATACTGAACATTACTACGGCTACAACTGATAATCCTCTCTCCCCTCACCTTCAGAGAGGAAAATATTTACTTGTGCGTTTTTAGACGCCTTAGTGACTGAAAGAGAAATAGTGTACAGGGGGAATCACGGCGCATGTTGAGATCACTGAAAGCAGAATTAGGTGCAGGAAGGCAAAGACAACCACGTCTCCAGAACGTTCCCTTCAAAAAGCAAAACCATTTTTAGGCAACGCACGTCAACCGAAAGTGGAGTTTTTGCATTCTTGGGCGATAGTTTTGCCCAAATTTCAGGGCAAATAATCGTCTCTAGCTGAGTACCAAAAACGAGAAGTCCAAAGACGACTGCAAAGCTGAGCGGGAGAACGTGATTGTTTTTTCGCAACAATATTTCGGCTGGCCATACGAACCTTCTTCAGGTTTACAGTAGCACACAAAGGGAAAAGAGAAAAGGCCTCACTCCCAGTTAAAATACGTTGCTTAATGAAAAGACTCCCGTAAAACGCCCTAGGAACGAAGCTCGGGCACTGGGCAACGGCAAGTGCTGGTGGGGCCCCAGGGAGTGCTCAACAAATGTTTATCAGGGGAGGACACGCCTCGAGGTCCAACCCCTTATCCTTTTATATACAATTTTTCACGAAAAAGAACCTCTTTCGTATACCTTCCATTGACAAATGGTACCCCTTTCACGTACCTTGTTTAGAACTTTGCATCTCTTTTAACTGCTGTAAATGCACTGCCTTTGGAATAGGAATCAATCGCAAAAATAGAACGTTTTCTCGAGTCTATAAAGCCATACAATTCATCTGTAAGCCCTTCTGGGCCCTTTCAGAGACCCGGATGACAGATTTCCCTACCCTTTCGTATACTTCAATTAGTGAGATCCCTAACCTAAAAAAGATACCCCTTTCGGGCGGAGTTCCGCCTCCCCATAAAGCCCATTTTAGGGAGTACCCCCTCCCCCCCCCCCGGAGTGGGGCAACAGTGTGTGGTAACTGAGAGCGAACCCCAACACCCTTTCGTATTTAACCGTCACTGGTTGTTAAATTAAAGGAGAACTCTGCTGAGTTGTAGAGAACCGATCGGAAAAGGCAATTGCAAACGCATGCAGAGTACAAATCCAGGGTCACGCATTCCCACTTCCTCCTTGCTATTTTCAGTAACATATCACAAAGAGTCTGTACGTAACGTTGTGAAAAGGCGTAGTGCGACACCAAAACACGACCCACAAATCGCGAGTTGTTGCTAAATGAAAATGTCCAGTGTCGCTGTAACACCATGGCTGTTGAAAATCTTTTTGATTCGGGACTGTGGACCACTTCCATATTAGCTTCTACATAAAGTGGACGATGCTGACACGATAACACTCTTCATACACTCCTCAAGTGAGATGGATTATTTTCTTATTTTACAGCTGTTTTAACGTGCTCTTCATAGTTTACAACCCAGCCAAGAAATGATGGAAGAACGAAGGAACTATTCGAATTTCTGTAACAATATAAGACGATATCACGCGAAAAAGCATCAGCAGCAGTTTTATGACTTCACCATCAAAGACAAAAATGGCGTCGAGTTTAAATCCCACAAATTTATTCTTGCTTCACAGTGCAGTTACTTTGCGGGTTTATTCCGCATACATCCAAACTCCAGTGAGACTACCTTTGCAGATTTTTCGCTTGACGAGATCAAGATGTGCATTGAATATTTGTATACATACAAAGTGAAACTCACCGGTAAGAACGTTCAAAATATGCTATTATTTGCCGACTACATCAATCTAACAGACGTGCGCGAAATTTGCATAAACTTCATCATCAAACACATCGACCGGTCGAATTGCGCCCACGTAATAGAGCTTGGTTACTCACTGGGAATAGAAGAATTCGTCGAAGCCGGGAACGAATTCGCTAAGAAAAACCTTATCAAACCTATACGTGATCTCGATGAAGACACTATCGTCAAGGCTGCGTGTATGCAGCAAGAGCGCGTGACGATCATGACCCGGAAGCAATGGTACCTAAACTTAATGAAGCAGTGGCTGACAGCGCCACACGATGTTTCGGGCTTTCATGCTCGTGGATCTTCAGTATTCAACAATGACTTGGACAAATGGGCACCGAAATTTGCGATAGATGGTAAAGTTTCGGAATGTGACATCTTTTATTTCCACTCCCAACTTGAGATGCATCCGTGGCTTGAAGTGAAGTTTCCCTCTCCTGTGCTGATCTCTTCAGTGACAATTTTCAACCGTAAAAACAGCTGTTGGGCAAGACTAAGAAATGTGGAGGTCAGAGCTGGAATGATGCCTGTCCCTGACGGATTCACAGCCTATGATAGAGGAAACCATAGCAACAAACGTATTGACATCAACTCTCAATGTGGATTTTTTGCAGGGCCACCAAAGTCATTTATATTCACAGGGCATGGCATCAAGTTCGAAAAGCCTACGCTTGCTCAGTACATTACTCTGCAGATTTTAGGGGAGGGGGTTCTTCAGATTAATGGACTTAAAATAAACGGGGGTGACCTATTGAATTATGAGTGTGCATTCTGACGCATGCCAAACTTGCCAATTGGCTTGCATAGCTTTACATACACTCGTACAAATGTCAAAAAAAAAGAAAAATATGCTTTAATTTGCAGCATCTCTCTCAATTTCATCACATGGAACTGTAACTGGTCCAAGCAGTAACTTCCCACGAGTCTCCTGTAGCTCAGAGTGGCTCTCAGTAGGGCATCTGGACTATAGTAACCAGACGGTCATGACAGGTTTGACTCGTATTGGGAGTACTCGCATTTTTGTCCTGGGGGGGATACTCCCCTATATAAGCCATATGGGTATGTGCTGTCCTAAAGGGCAGGGTTTTTTTGCCGTTTTGGTCTGATGAAGGGTGTAGACTTTCCTCAGTTTTGTTCTAGAATCTGGTATGGTTGTCAAGGGAACTACGGAAGTGTACGAACGTATCTATTGTTTCAATTCCAAATGAGTTTTTTGAGGCTGCTAATCTAAGTAATGATGCCATAATTTCTTAAAGGCCGGGTCTGAGAATGGGTATGGATTTTAGGGGCCAGGTCTGAAAACGGGTGTGAAAAATGACATTTTTTTGGTCTGAAATAGGGTCAGGATTTGGAGAACCGGGTGGCACACCCCCACCAAGATTTCCCAGGCACACCTCCCTGGATTTTTGTTTACCAGCCGCCAGTGTCACTGACTGAAAAATCATCTTTTTCAAGGTCCAAGTAGTTTGTAGAATACCTCTCACATATGACTCCTGTAAATGGCATTGGGTTACGGAAGTTCCTTGCAGTTTGCTATAGCTAGAGCAGACCACCGTGATTTACTGGAATTTCTTAGTCTGGCCGGTTCAAATCAGTACCGTTATTTAGGGAATCAGCAATAATTCTTTTTCTCACAATCTAGGTTCATAACAGAAATGAGCAGTTTGAGTTGCAAGCCATACAGCTCAGACAATGAGCTGTAAATGCAAAACTGATGTTCTTAATATAGCTTAATATCATATAAGTCATAATAAAAGATTAAAATGTTCATAAGGAGGTTGCTGAAGTAGAATGGTGAAGGAGATATTATGATAGTTTGTGGTTGGAAATATACACTGAACTCTGACTGCATGTTTAATGGAAGTTCTAATTAATGGGGAGAGGTATGGACATCCGTACGAAGGGGAAGATGAAGAGGTTAAATAAGAAAAACACCGTTTAATCGGGTGGTGATAGGAATGTTTTTCAGGAACACGTATGGCAGCACATCAAGACTTTGTGACCGAACTTCATTCTAAGTTTAGCTTAAATTTTCTTGTAAGTTAATAAAGCTCATTATTATGATATACAGTGTTAGAATTGATTCCACCATGCAAAAGCTCACACCAAACTTCAACTTAATATAGTCATGTAAACACTACTTAGTTTGGAACCATAACAATGGAAACAAATATAAGTACTCCTTGAGGCAGGTTCCAGACACAAATTAGCAAGTCACCCATTAGTTAAAAATCACAGTCTTTACCTACTTTTAGCATCGTCTAAAGAGAAAATACATTAACAAGATTAGATATATCGTAGAATATCGAAAAAAGAAACAATAACGTTCGATTGCACTGCTCAATAATATTTTTGCATTGGCACACCAAGAGAGAGAGGCAGCTTTCTTTTAATTAATCACTCAAATTTAAGTTAGAGCCACATAGTGCCGTGTGCTGGTTGAAGAGTTTTCATTTAAATAGTTACACCGTAGGATTCCATCCACAGACTCAAACGTTAGAACTACATACTAAATAAATAGTACCATGTGAAAGTACTGCTGAAGAGGTTTCATTTGAATGGTAACACCACGGGATTTCATCCACAGACTCAAAAGTTAGAACTACATACTAAATAAATAGTACCATGTAAAAGTACTGCTGAAGAGGTTTCATTTGAATGGTAACACCACGGGATTTCATCCACAGACTCAAAAGTTAGAACTACATACTAAATAAATAGTACCATGTGAAAGTATTGCTGAAGAGGTTTCATTTGAATGGGCACACCATGGGATTTCATCCACAGACTCAAACGTTAGAACTACCTACTAAATAAATAGTATCATGTGAAAGTACTGCTGAAGAGGTTTCATTCATGGTAACACCATAGGATTTCATCCACAGACTCAAAAGTTAGAACTACGTACTAAATAAATAGTACCGTGTGAAAGTACTGCTGCAGAAGTTTCATTTAATTGAATGGTCACACCATAAGATTTCATCTACAGACTCAAAAGTTGGAACTTGAATAAAATAATAGTACCGTGTGAAAGTACTGCTGAAGAAGTTTCATTTGAATGGTAACATCATAAGATTTCATCCCCAGCCTCTAAAAGTTAGAATTACTACACTGACTAAATAAATACATAGGTTTCATTTACGGATAATACATGGCTCTTCATCCGAAACCGTCATTTCGTGTCTGCCGGACGACGACGCCACGTAAGACGATGGACAGAGACCTCTATACCGGGGGCGACTAAGTATCAGTTCCAACGGTATTTCAGAAGTGCTACGGCGTTTTTGCTACATTCTGACCACAGTTGATTGTGGCTGCAGCGTTCTCACAAATCACTAGAATGAGCCCTTCACGCAATATTTCTGAGCAAAATTTAAAAAAAAAACTAAAACAAGCTAAAACCCTCGCGCAACTTGATCTGTCAGTTGGTAAATGAATAAATACTGCGCTTCAACTGCTCCAGTTCCCACTGCTTCCGTGCCGAAGAATTCATTTCCGGCTAATTCGTATCCACTCAAACGCCGGAAATTCCATTTCAGTTACTGAAAAGGGAACTGTATTCTCCCAGCAGGTGATATTCGACAGGCGGGAAGACGATTTTGGTGAGAAGACTGAAAAGAAAGGAAAAGTACGGCCCTGGCCCTTTCTTTTCTAATATCTATTAAATATTTATTTATTTATTGGTTACTGGAGTGGCTGTAGAACGAATTTTAAAAAGACGATATAATGTTCACCGTACGCAATCTTTGGTTACGACTTCCTTTTTCTCTCATGTAGAGCGACTACCACTAACATTACATTAGTTAGGTCAGAGTTCCTGTATAAGAAGGAAATGACTGTGGTTGCGTTCCTTTTGACCAATCTAAATCCGGATTTGCGACCCAGAACACACAGTTTGATTTATCGTTCTGTTAAAATGACTCTGTTAAAAACTAAACCCATCTTAGACGTTCAGATTGGTATCTTAATCTGGTTTCAGATTTTCGTTCCATTTAAGAAACTGTTTTTCGATCGCTAAAATGTGCTCATTCATTGTTAAACATGGCTAGTCAAGGTCAGTTCAGGCGAAAGTTCTTTTTACTCGTCCGTTGTTCTTTGCCGCTTAAGGATTGAAGTATAACAACTTTAGATCCGTAAAGAAAGGAAAACGCTTGGACTCACCGTAAAATGTCCGATGTGTGTGTTTGGAGCGCCCCTCACTCATGTTGAGATTTTGTAGTTGTCTTTTGAGCTTGTTTGGTTCAACTTCCAGATATTTTCAAGCGAGGCCCAGTATGAACCACATAGCCTGATTCTCAGACGTACGCGTCCGAGGTCGTTCGCGGCCGGAAGCGAAGGGGCTGCGAACGACCTCGTACGTCTGAGAATCAGGCCATCCCTTCCATCGCTTCACGAGAAGACGCTTAATTTAGCGCGGAAAAAATAAAAATCGATGCGAGGAAATTGAGAAGAAGATCAGTGCAGCAAACCAGCTATTGTATGGATCAATTCTTCAGATTTTGTTCCGGCTAGCACGAAAATCCAAACTATCTGGATTGTCTAAATCCAAATGGGAAAGCAACCTGATATGGACCTGCGCGGTAAAAAGGCGAGCATCTTTGTTTTGAAGACGTAGGACGCGTAAATATATAGCTGGTTCCCAGTACCGCGCGGTCATTACAAAGTGTAGAGCCAAACCGAACCCGCGAGTGGAAACAGCAAATGAAAGACCTCTTATTAAAGAAACAAACGCCTTCCCATCAGCGAGCAAGAATGGCAGAGAAACGTCACCATATGAACTTCTGTCACAATATAAAACAGTTTCATGAGAAAGAAAGCAGTGAACGTCAATTTTACGATTTTACAATCAAAGACAAAGATGGCGCCGAAGTTCAATCTCACAAGTTTATTCTCGCCTCACAGAGTGAGTATTTCGCTGATCTCTTTAGCACCCACCCAAATGCCAGTGAAACAACTTTTGAAAATTTTGGACTCGACGTGATCAAGCCATGCATCGACTATTTGTACAATCACGAAATTGAACTCACGAGAGACAACGCCATGGACGTTCTAAAGTTTGCGGATAAAACCGCTCTAACAGTGGTGCGTGACAATTGCGTTGACTTTATTATTAAGCATATCGACAGATCGAATTATTCGCTGGTGATCGAAGTTGGTAAAAAAGGGGGAATAGATGAGATGGTTGAAGCGGCGGTGATGTTCGTTGTAAAAAACCTCACAGGAACTATTGAAAGCCTTGACGATTTAACCAAGGAAATGATAACAACGATTGCTTGTAGGCAGCAACAGCGAGTGACAGTTATGACCCAAGAGCAGTGGAACATTAGCATAGTAAAGCAATTACTGACAGATTCAAACGAGGAACTTATATCGAGCTTCGAAGCACGAGGATCTTCCGTGTACAGAAACAATTCAGATCTGTGGGGGCCGAAATTTGCTATTGATGGCGAAATGTCGGATAGTGACTATTTATACTTTCATTCAGAGTTAGAAATGTATCCGTGGCTGGAAGTGAAATTCCCTTCTCCTGTTTTGATCTCTTACGTAGCCATTATAAACCGTAAAAATGGTTTTTGGGCAAGGCTTAGAAATGTGGAAATCAGGGCTGGAATGACACCCGTTCCCGATGAATTCACAGCACATGAGAATGGAAACCGAAGGAACAAAGAGATCCAAGTTAATTCTCGTTGCGGATACTATAAGGGGCCTGCTAACAGATTCATAAACAAGGGACATATTGTCAAGTTTGAAAAGCCTACACTCGCACAGTACATTACATTTCAGATTTTAGAAGAAGGATACCTTCAGATAAACGGTCTTAGAATTAATGGCGGTGACTTGGTGAATCATCTGTTGGAGCTGTCATAAAACGTAGTAACAAATTCACCGCCAACGGAGTCCGATCTTGGATGACTCATTATAAAACCGGGGACTTTCGTTCGATGTGATCAGCCGATTTAAAACCAAACACCTTTTGTTTTTTAATTCTAACCTTTTGTAGGAGCTTTTTCTCGCTACGTGGCGCCCAGTTCAACTCCAAACGGTCGCGACTCTCAACGTAGGGGAGGTAAAGATATAGACTACGAGTAGACCCCCATTTTTCCTCAGGGATAGTAGAGCGAGCGAAACGAGAGTGCGCGTGAAAATCACCCCACGCGAGGAAAGGCGACACTCTCCCCGCCGCGTGTAGCCTTTTCTTGCGTGGGGTGATTTTCACGTGCGCTCGCGTTTCGCTCGCTCTACTATCCCTGAGGAAAAATGGGGGACTACTCGTACTCTAGAAAAGATAAGTTGGTTGAAAAGGCGTGACATCGGAAACATCGTCAGTTTCAGACCGTAGTCCGTTTGCTACTATCCTGGAGGGGGGGGGGGTTACTTTGTACCTTTGGGATCCTGGAACCCTTAACCTATACCAGAGCTAGTTCAGCTGAATTTTGCTACCCTATAATAGAGTAAACTCCCCAAAACCCCCATTATCTTAGAGTAGCTGTTTTCTACTGAAATCACTAGCACAGTCTAGCCACAATCCCTAGTCTAGATAAAATCTTCAACCAACTGATCAGTTTCATGGAAAATGATACCCTATTCTAGATCCAAACGCTCTGATTTATATACCCTATCCTAGAGTAAACTGCTTGAAAACCATACCCTTCACAGCGGCACATACCTATATAGCCCATATATGGCAGTACCCCACCCGGGGGGGCGTTTCGAGGTTTCACTTTAGAGAGGTGGGGACAAGCTAGAATTTCAAGTTATCTGATCGGTTCTTCTCTAAGCGCGTGGACTGGGGCGTAATATTCAAGAGAAGTAGCCTCTCACATAACCTTCGTTGCAGATAGACTGCGAGCAGTCTCTCTTTTTCTTCAGATTTAGTGCTAGTGAGGGGAGGAACGCAAGCGCGAGCGTCGAAGCCTTCGAGAGGCGGGAAACGAGGGCGGCCTCGCCAATCTCGCGCCTTTAGTCACGCGCGTGGTCATTTGCGTGTCTCGCACGTTTTGCTCGACGGTACGTTGCAGCCGGCCCACGTACTCGTCTAAACCATTTGTATAATCCGTCTATACGCTCTATACTGAAGGTTTAGATCGTTTGCGGCGCAGGCAACCTCCCACACTGAATACGACTCGTTTCATAGCTATGTTTTATTTTCAGTACTTAGCTCTCGGGCTCTTTTACCGCCCCAAAGGCTTCTACAATGATCAAAGCTTAGTTCGTGGCAGTTAATTTCTCCCAAATATATCTGTAACAAATATCTGATTAGACCTGGAGAAAAAATAGAATAATAGGTCAAGGCCGAAGAGCTTTTTCTGTACAAGAGAATATTATTTCTACAGGGATTAAACAAAAGGAAAAATAAAATCAGAGATGCATGCAATGCAATTAAAAGGATCTCTTTAAAAATTCGTCATTCCATTTGTCAGAACCTCATGCGCAGCGTGACGCAATATTGAATGAGGTTTGGTATTTCACTTCCGATAATGCTTAAGCACGACTCCGTTGTAACGATAATATTTATCTCCAGAAGTCAGAGAGCCAAATTAAAGCCAAAAATAAATAACATTAATATGTCTGTTGTCACCAAAGCAGACATACTCCGAGGGTTTTTTTTTTTTCAATGACTGATTATAATATCATTCGCACTGAAAAGGCTAGAAACGAGGAAAATAGATGAATTCATGACAAAGCAACGTCAGATTGACCGAATAAAGGAATAAGACAAACTGGCATAAAAGCTGCAAAATATGCCATTCTAAAAGCTATCCTCGGTTACATGTAATATCTATGTGGCCTGGAAGCGATAGAATAGATTATTCCCGGATGTGGACAACCCAACGCTACCTTGTTTGATAAAGAAACACTGTCATCGAATATTTTTAAGAAAAAGGCAGTATCAGGATTTGCAATTCCTTTAAAACGATTTATTTCATGTTGTCATTTCACTGCTTCAGGTTTGGCGAAACCTTTAACTCACTAAGTAAGGTCAAGGTTTCGCAAATGTGTTTGTCTAGTGATACGTTAAACACGCGGGCGAGTGTTTCGACAGATATCCAATCACCGAGACGTGCATAGAAAACAAGATGTTGAGCTGAGCGTTGACCTATTGCCCATTTTATGTGTTAAGATACTTCATGAAACACTTTCTCGCGTGTTTATTAGCTTTTCAACCGGTTAAATCATTCTTCAAGAACTTCAACCGCCATCTTACATTTTATGGTAATTGAGTATCTTCATAATAATAGTTAGCGCTACTACATAAATCACTAGTATGAGTTTTCCAAAGAGACGTGGAAGAGATGACAGTGTTCCTTCAAGATGTTCAAAAATACGTTTTGATAAAAAACCCACCTCATCTTTTCAATAAAAACAAATAAACAAGTTAGAATACAAATTATACGCTAAATTTATACCCACTGAAGTTTACGAGTTAAAACCATAATTATATTTCCACTGCACAGACAGCACTCTGCGAATATCTTCACTTTTAAAAAAAATCATCTAAGAGACTATAAAATCAAGACATGATAAAATAATAAGAAAATACCGAGAATCCCAAATTTTCGGAGAACAGGTTGAAACAGGTAACTTATATCTACTTTGTATTAATTAAAACCTATTAAAAACGTTAAAATCCTGTACTGATTTACATTTTTAACTTCTGTGTTCATCTACGATGAAAGACAGTCACTAGTGCGCCTTGTCACACTTAAGTGTCACGATAATATGTAACGCCGACGCGTGACATAACAAGCGAAAACACAGAATTAAAAAAAGATAAAATATTTTTACCGGGCGGGGGTAAGAAGATTAACCAGATAATTTTACAGTGGATTCCTTGAAATTCCAACAGAGAATCCATCTTAAAAATTTCAACTTAAAAATTTCACGATTCAAAAACAGAGCTATACAATATGTACTGTCATGCATTTCAAAACTATCACTTTGTCTATAAACAGAATGCCAACATAAAAGCGACGATAAAACTTTCAGATTTTCGAGTCTTAAAAGTATTTTACCCCCATATATGGGTTCTATGACTGGCGAAACAATCAGTTCCCAGTTCGCCGCAGCGTCCAAGTTCGCTTGTCCCCAGTCTCAAATACACCACTAATTGTTCCTGATATGTCGATACTTGTCACTTGAATAACAATTCTCTGTTTAATTTTAACGCATTACGTCGATTTTGTAGAAGAACCACTAGACCTTCTTGGCCCTCCGGGGCTCCCGTCATGAAGGTCAAAGTCCGACGCGCTTGACTTTCGGTCTCCATCCGGGGAATTGACAGCGAGAGTCTCGAGTGACGAGGCAGACATTGCTTTCACTTGCGCAATAACTACTTGTGCCTTCAAGGCATCTTCCTCGAGTTCACGCATTCGCTGTTGTCTCATGGCCGCACGTTTTTCCGCCTCAAGAGCACGTTTTTCGGCCGCCGTTAGGGCTCGTTTTGGAGACTGCGGAGCGGAATCTTTCGCAGAGTCGCTGCTTGAATGACGCGTTTTATCCAACGCAGCTTCCTCGGACGTTCTCTGTGCATGATCAGAACCTGTAACTGCTCTGTTTATACCCTAAAAAGAAGGCAAACACAAACTTGTTAAATATTTAGAATTTACTATAAGAAAAGATACCTCATCAATATGGAAGTATATAGCTTCTGCAAATATTTGTTGGTAGAGTAGTTCTGTCCTTAAAGAGAGATTACAATTCCCATGAAACCCATTAATTAGTACAAAGTACTGTCAGGCGGTACTGTCCTGTGCTGTAAAAGGTTGTCTTTAAATTTTGAATCTGCAAATGAAATACTACAGTATGTAATGAAAGCTACTGAGTAAGAATTTCCCGTGGTGCTGTTTATCTATTTAGGTGGATCTAGCTCGATTCTATCGAGGTATAAAATCCTCAAGCCGTGTCACCAACGGAAGATGATACACCGTACTTCCGTGTGCGTCTGTTCGCTTTACGTTCCAAGTTTGCTAACCATGTTTATTTTATTGAATGTCACTAACCCTTACTTTTAGCTGGATCTGATTTGAATTTTGGAATTTTAGTTCCGAAAGCCATCGAAAAAAACAATATGTTCACACGCGTGAGGCCCAACTATCCAAGAGACTATCTTCAAGTGTTGTGAAAAATTGAGCGTGGGAAACGTGAAGGTTATTGTCATAGTTGACCACTAACGCTTTGCTTCACTGGATTAAGACAAAACTGCTAAAGAAACGGCTGCACGCTTGGAGGGAGTCATAAGTGTTTTCGTCGAGATTTGTAAGTTCTTGGACTATTTCAAAATGAGATCATCGACTCCAAAATCCTGACGAAGTTGTGTCTTACTTGAATTTTTAAGCAAGAACTTCCAGTATACTACATTTCAACACCACAGCAATAAAATACTTTTTGTGTCTGAAAGAAGGTTAACACGTGACTTTTGTAGTGCACATTCAAACGATCTGAAAGTTCAATAACTGTAATTTTACTTCACTGTAGCTTGGTTTTCTGTACCAAACTAAGCAAGACGTTGCTATTGCTTCTTTGTCCGGGACATCGAAGAGGAGCTGTTCTGTTTACTATTTGGTCTCGTGGATTGATCACGTACTTTGAAAGCGGAATCAGGAATGAAAAACATGAAATGGCGACAACGGTGACCTACATTGTTAATTTCTTTGTTTGCCTGAAAATTTAAGATACCGCCCAGAGGGAGTGATTGAAAATAATAGCTGTTTTTTTTTTTCTTTTTTAAAGAAATTCTATGAGACGTGATAGTAAACACGCCACCCAAAAACGTGACTTTTTGGACATCAACAAATTCCTTGCGACAGGAATGTTCCTTCGTGGTAAGGCAAGTAAACCGCTCCCCAACTTCCTCAAAGCAAGTCAGCAATTGTTAACAGGACTTCCGAAACACCAGAATTATTTTTCAATGCGTTTGTTTAAAAGAAATAATAGAAATTAAAATTCGATTTGCTAACATATGAAAAACATAATACTGTTGAAATGCACTTACATAGACCAATGAAGTAAGCAATTAGTTCCTACTCAAGATCGCAAATCTACAACTACATTTCACGGTACGGCTTTAGGTTAATTAAAAAAAGAAAAAAATACCGGTTTCTCCTCCGTAATCCCTTTGGTGTCCTCTAGTCTTTTACGAAGCGCTTCCTACAAAAAAGAATAAGTGTCGGTTAGTTGGAAAAGCCACAGAAAGAAACAAACAAACAATCAAACAAATTTGAACCGCAACTTTGTCAAACAAAGACAAGTTACAAACACTACGGTTTGACTAGGTTAAGGGTATTTTCGCATCAGGATTCTTATTTTCCAGTTGAAAGGTCTGGATTCTGAAATCTGCCACAAGGAACTTTCAGCAAACAAAATACAAACCAGGAGAGTAAACTTTATAAGTATCGACTAATATTAAATCTGAGCAACCACATTATTTGTACTGTTTTTTGTAAACTAGCAGATATGTCACACGCAAATATCCATAATCAGACTTGAATTAGTGGTATTACTTAACGCACTTAATACATGAGGTCGTAAATCCTACATGTTTTCTTGCTAGATGGCGCGTTCATTTTATTGTCTTGGCGAATTTTCTTTCTGTAATTAAGTTTTCGTGGATAAATAAGAATAGATATTTCAAAACTTCTAAAACTGGGAAACTTTGTAGATAGGTGCTTTATTCAACACTACAAATGTAAATGGCAATGAATACGAATACAACTTCCGACAGAAAGTGAAACACTGCGAATTCTCCGAGCTGCGCGATAAAGGAAGAACGTTAGAAAGTACGATTTCCATGAAAGCGTAAAATGTTAATTTGTTATAACGTGTACAAGATAACAATGACGAGCAACTTTTGGCGAAGAGTTATTACGTAGTTATTCACACAGTGAGGTTAACAATCACGCTCCATGATTGTGCATAAACTTAAGTTTATTTTTCCTTTGTGGAAACCAGAGTCAGCAGATAAAATTTTAAATTGTTTCTCGAAAAAGTAAGGAGAGTTCGCTTTATGTAAAAGTGCTTCCGTTTCTCCTTAAGCGGAAATTTTTGCTGAACTTTGAATAGTCAGAAACCCCGCGATTTCCAACTCCCAATGAGAACAAAAGTAGATTGATATAGCAAGGGTTCGGGTTAGTAGATTAAAACTGAAAATTGAGCCACAGAGGGTATAATTGGTTAAGTTAGACGGGGGAATTAGAGATAACCGAGTTCGAATTAAAGGAGTTCAAATCTACAATATTGTAAAGCTCTCTAGAAGAAAAGTGTAAATCAGGTTCCAAAAAATTGGTTAAATCCTTCGAAAAAGCTACGTTACCTCATGAAGGCCTTTGAACCTGCAGCCAACTAAACAGATCGTAAATAATGTGTGAGGAGCCATGAAATCCGAGCGATGTTGTTCAGTAAAAGTTTGTAACATAGTTTCAACATGAAGCGCCCACGACGGGAAGAAGTCGAGGTCTGTTGCTTACACTGACGCAAGTCACTTCTTATAATATCAACACGTGATTCATAGTGTCTGCTCGAGTAAGCAGAAACTATGTCTGGGAAATTAACCCCCGCAAGATAGGAAATTTAACCTTTTCAATTTCGAAAGGCACCGGTTTAAATTTGAATACAAAGTGTGATTAATATTTTTAGACAGAATCTTACGAAATATTCCGGCTCCGCCACAACAATGTAATACTCGAAATATTTGACCCGAACGGTCATATCTGCAGCCTAAACAGGTCGAAAATGAAAAACAATTTGCAGGGAAGAAAAATGCTATTGCTCAACAAAGTTCGAGGTCGACAGTAATTCAATAAATGAAAGTATTGCGAAAGCGCTATCAAATTTTTACAGCGCAACAAGATGAAAAGGACTACTAAAAAAAAAACAAACAAAACAAAGCACAGATAATAACTGTTAATTGGATGACCGCACTTTAGAATTTCATCCATTAAGACTTGTACTGAGTTCTTGTAAAGATTACTTTCATCTTGTGAGGACTCAAATTTTGATATTGAACAATACTACAGGAAATTACTGCTTGGTAGCTGTATTGTGAATCCTCACTTTTTCGACTCAAATGTTACAAACAAATTGTAACGTCATCAAATGGGAATTAAAATACCGCCCATAATTCATATAACGGACCAAAGAGGAAAGTTACTGTCATTTGTTTTCTCATAAACTTCAAACGAGTCTGAGGACCCGTCCACACGAATTGGGACATTTTTTAAACCGCTCTAATATTTTCCCGCGATTCGTGTGGACGGGGCTTTAAGCGGTTTCAAAAAGATGCGGTTTTAGGGAGCGGATTTAACGGTTTCGCGTCTACGGAAGGCCGCTGATTCATGTAATAATATATGCGATACCACCGGATTCGTGTCGACGGGGCTGGGTAAGAAAATAGACAAGCACAACAAATAGTTCTGACATTTAGTAAAATACAAACTGCTTAGTAGCTCTGTCACCCACTTGCCAGGCGAGTTCAGATCACAAGAAAGAGCTGCTTACACTTCATCCATGCATAACATTATACAGCTCAACAAACAGCACAGCAAGAAAGCGCTATACTTAGAATTTCATTTGTGTGGTTCACAAAAGAACGTATTACACGCGTGCCAACAGCTCAGTGAATACATGTATTTTAGAATTTCTTTCCTGATAATTATTTCTTACCTGTCTTTCCTTTTCCTCCCGTTCCCATCGTTCGGTTTCTTTTCGAGCTTCTTCTTCCTAAAAAACGAAGCGGGAAAAAAAGTCAAAATGCATTTTTTTTTTCATAAACAGAATCAGTACAAGGGGGGATTCAGCGACAATGTTATTCAAACTGCAAACGTTCACAGCTCTTATATTATAAGTAGCAGCTGCCAGAGTATCGTAAAAATTCAAGACGAAGAGGGAAAAAAAACTGAGATAAAATCACTGCGTTGCTGCCAAAAATTTCAAAAATTTGTAGCGGAACCTCTCTATAACGATTTCCTCGGTATAGCGAAAGATTATTTTACCCCAAACTGTTTAATATATAGAAAAGAACCTCGACATAACAAAACCTCGTTATAGCGAACACATTTTAACAGTCCCTGGGCCGTTAGTTATATATCGAGGTTCCACTATATTTTCATTTAGAGGCAGGCTCCAGTAGTTCTGGTGGAATATTATTCAAACTACAGTTTCACAACGCAGCTCTTATAGAAGCAATTAAATATAGTCGATATTTGAAGCTCTTCAAAAGAAAATTCAAAAACAGTTAAATCTCGATGTAACGAAGGGCCAAGGGACCGGCAAAATGTGTTCGCCATAACGAGGTTTCGTTATATCGAGTTTCCACTGAACTTAAAAAAGAAGAGATGACTAGTTACTAGCGACATAAAAGCAATAAAAATATCTCAAACAGTAAAGAGATCTAAAATAAATAACAATTTAGGAAGACCACAAACTAGGCGAAAAAGGATGTACCGAATAAATTTTCAGGTCATTGAAAATTAAAGTACCATTTTGTTCTTGACATATTGTCGCAGTATCCTCATCACATCGACTTTTGCCATTTTACTGGTGAGTTTCTTCACAAAAATCGATAGAAAAATCTTTTGAGGCGCTGATTCGCGGTTACAATGGGAGAAGATCCGGTTTAAGGTTATATTTTCGCGGGTTAAGCGCGAAGCACACCAAAAACACACGTCCCGAACACCCAATTGCTAAGTTTGTTCAAACAAAGGATTTTCCTGACACAAAAGATACACGTCACTACTTTGTCTATAGAAAAGACTGGAGAATATTCCACCCCATCACAGCGCCACTGGACGCCACTAAAGCAACAAACGCTCCATGAAAGAAACGAAACGAAGAAATTATAAAATTGGCAAGGCACAATTCGTACCTGAACTGGCACGGCATGAACCAGTTTTGTAAATATCGTGCCAACATTTGCATGTTACGGAAAATTCTAGATAAACAACACGCTCAAGTTATTAACCTTAATATTTCATAACGAACTCGCTGATAAATGGAAATTACGACAAACAAGTTAATCCACGCAGAAAATCCACACTTCACGTAGCAAAGTGTAGCGGTGAATTCAACTCAAGCGTAGCTCTTTAAAATTAAACAGAGTGAAGGGACTATTACTTTAAGCTTTAACAAAGCGGAACAAGTATTATCTGGGAAATATTTCGTGAAACATATTAGCTGAATAATATATAAAACTGGCGACAACAGGCAGATAGAAATACAATTGCATCTAACGGCTAAAAAGATAAATTAAAGAGTCACTTAATTAGATCTGATTTGGGTTTCGAAAAGGCTAGCGGGGCTTTAAACGTATCATTCAGAAGATTAAATATGAAAAGTACAGAATCATTTATATCATCATAAAGATCAATAAAAGCCACAAAAGAGTACTTTACCACAGCACCGAAACACTGGGATCAAAAAAAAAGAAAGAGTGGCTGCCAACATCGAGGAAGCTTGCCTAAGGACTTCAAGATGTAGAGGCAATATGATGGCGTTTTTATATAATGGTAACGTAATTCGTAGCCATTGGTTTCCAGACAGGCCTATTGAGCGTGGTTCATGTATTGTCGTTTCGTTAAGGCAATATAACTCCCTCCGTCGAAAACGAAATCATAAACCTATGCTCGAGACACATGAACCCCCCCCAAAAAAAACATTGATATACGTCGATATGTAAAACTTTCTTACCATATTATAGTTAGAGCGAGACGTTAGTTTTCCTATGAGATCAGGGTAATTAGTGTCGTCTTGAACAGGTAACACGTTATTGCTAACCATAATTTTAAAGTTAATTATTCAAATTGCCTCTTGTTGTTTATTTTCTTTAAGAACTAAAACATTCAACAGTGATAACTATACTAAAGGGAAAATTTTTTTACCTACAGTTTTCTTCTTCCGAATGAACTTAGGAAAAAACATTGCGAGAATCAGTTACACTTAACTCTCTGGGAAGTTTAATGATAACCTTTCTTCACCAACTTGGCAAAATTTGGACTTCAAAGATTTTAAATTTACATCACAAACCAAGCCATGTCCTACGAGCAAGATAACAGAAAAGTAATAAAGCGCTTTTTCAACAAACGAAGGGGAGGAATACTGATTTGCGATTACACGCGTTTCGTAGCGGCCTGAAGAGGGCAAAAAAGATATCCGTCCCAATCAGTCACATAACTTCACTAGTGTTGCAAATAAGGTCGATACTTCAAGTAAAGTTAAAAGTGATCCAAAAAATTGAGAACACAAACTGTTAGAAACTATTCTGTTTGCTGATGGAAGAAACGAAAATCAATTCAACTTACACACCAAAACAAACCAATTTTTTCCCTGTATTAAGTTCTAAATCTATTTGCCACAAAAACATTGCAGTACGAAATAATCACTCACGGCGTTCATGCAACCCATACTTCAGAATTTTATCTTTATACAGGGAGAAAAGCACAGTATGATCAACAATAATGTTGTCTAAAATGTCGAATGATGCATTGAAATTCAACACCCAGAAGAACTTTTCAAAGTAAGGCCTGGACAAAGTTTCAAAGTAGGAACAAAGGAATATCCTGGACATGTTCCATTAAAAAGAAATATAGGTACCGATGAGTACTTCTGGTACTGTTTACTATGCTGTACAAGGCCGTTCTAGCTTTTGAATCTGTGGTTAAAATTCTTTGTATCACCATTGAATTAAAAGCTCCCTCCGGTATTATCTAGTATGCTCCAGGACTCCAAAAACGCCCCGTTCGGTCGTCTAGGGCCACTGGCGCAGGGTAAGTAACTTTTTTTGTACTCAACTGCTTAAATAGGCAAGAGGTAGGCAAGTCACCTTCTAAATAAATCATGAACTCAGACAGGCGTTCAGTAAAACCAGGCAAGCAAAACGTAAAGAGGAAAATACGAAATCATAATTAATAATAATTATTAAAAAATAATTCTTTCAAGCCCCATGTACAAGGTGACTTTGACTTTTTTTGACCTGCAGAAATAACCACTTGGTGCACCAAATAAATAAAGAAAGCTACAGAGCATTAATTTCCTTTCCCACCTGTAACCAGGCACCACACTTCTCGCAATTCAACGAAATAAAGTGCGGGAACTTTTAAATTTCGGTGCAAGATTGAGGTTACAAAATGGATCATGTTGGCTGTCCGTCATTTTGATCATCAATGCGTGCATTGTACCTTAAAGGACTAATTTCCAAGCAAGTAATTTTTACACTTCATTTCCAGGGCATGTTTGAAAAACTATGTACTTAAATAACAAAATAGAGACTCCAACCCCCTCCCTGGAGATTAACGAGTTGTGTTTTGTTCACTCTTTGTTTTCTGCATGAAAAAGAAAAATTCAATTCACAGATAATTAACGAATATCCCACATACACGCCACTTAAGACCCGTGTTTTTTTTATGAAACTGTGTAATTACATGCCTTTCTCGCATATGTCAACCTTGCTGCCACCCACGAAAGCCTATATGCCTTCTATGAACGATAAATTTTTGTTTCAAGCAAACAGTACCATGCGAAAGGTTATTTGAATGGTAACAACATACGATTTGGACAATTCACATTGCAGCCCTATTTCCCAGGTGGGCAGGGAACGTCGCACTGTCTCCCTGTAAAAACAGGCTTGCACTTTTACTCTACATTTGATTCTGGGAGAAAACGAGACATCAAAACTCGGGCCAATATCAAGTTCCCTTTCCGAAAACGAACGTTTTTTGGCCTTTGTCTTGCAGAAGATATCATAAGAACCACATTAACTGAGCTACTATTTAGAGTCTGTGAGTGGAAGGCTAAGAAAAATGGAAAAGTTCGAGATAAAGGTATTAAAAAGAGCTGAAATAAAGAAAACTCGAGAACGCTTTCCCTTAAAATCCCTCAAGACAAGAGCTTAAAAAAGCACATTAAAATTTTTTGTGGTCTTGCTGAAACATTCAGGTTTTCCTATAAGCCCAGTTTCCATGGCGATTACATTAAAATAGGAGTTCATTCGAGCCAAGCGGCTGCCATCGAAACTCGAATATTGCCGTGTGGATATGAGTATACTTTATACCGCCGCATTCCAGTCTTGCGACAAAAGGAGCTTTCAAATATTTCGTTGCAACAAAAATGAACTCCATAAATGGGGGTATCTGGTGATGCGATTTTGTAAATGACAAACGACCAGAATTCTGTCGTATGAATAGTATTCGTCAGTGTCTTTAAACTCAGCTTACCGTTCGCCACGTAAACACGCAAAAGGAAGTCATATCCCCTGAAGAATTGCGAGCTTGAAGGAAAGACTTGTGGATTTATAGCGCTATTCCTCATAGACAAACATGACGATGGCCGCTCTTTGTGGAATTTTTTGACTTCTCGCCCAAAACGAATGCAAATGTGCACTGGATTACAAAAGCACCGGTGAGTCACACAACGAACGCTAAGCACCAAGGTGTCACGCAAGCAACGTGGTTTCAGTAGTTATGCGCTGTTTTACATTTTAAATTTTGCAGCGACTGAAGAAAATCAAATGCGTTTCAAGGGAAACTACATCAAAGCAGAAAACGATTGTTCTTATTTTCCTCAATTTCTTAAAATGGTCACTCGTTCTGTTTTAAGCACTAACTCCTACATACATATGAAAAGCTAAAAACAAGTTTAAGGTGTACCTGTCTTTTAATCTCCTTTCTAATGTCTTCATACGCTCTTTCGTTTGGAGGTACAATAACTTCCCGGTCAAGTGACTCCTCACTCTGTGTTCGGCCTGAATTTATCGAGGCCACGGGACTTTGCATCCATGCTGCTTGTCCCGCGGGAACTTGAGCGGGATCAAAACCTTCACACACTAGCAATGATAAATTCTCCCCAATCCCTCTGAGGGATCGCACGGCTTCGAGGTGCGTGGCTCCAAGGAGACTGGTACCGTTGACCTTATGAGGGATTAAATAGTGTCTCAGTGATACACAGTCAGTAAAGATTGCAACTTTTACAGTTACTCTAGTCAATAAAATTACTCGTTTTCTTGAAAAGTCAATATTCTAGCTGCAGTCAAAATTATCAAACCTGTAACATTTACTGTTGTTCAGTTTTCATTGGCCACTTTAGAAGCGGGAGAGAAACTGGAGCCGATATGCACCCCGCAGTTGTTTCTGGGATTGTTACTGATGACGTGTCGGTCAGCTGTTGGCCAATTATTTCCCCTTTCCCTATAACAGTCCCACAAGTCCTTTGCGAGGGTCAACTTGGCACAGTTACTCTTCTCGTTTTCTAAAGTAACGAATGGTTTCACAATACTCACCTCCAGTATCCTTTGTCCAACTTTGAGACGGCCATCTTTGAAAGCTGCTCCTCCTTCGTTTACTTTAGACACGAATATTCCTTCATCAGTCTTATCCAGCGGATTTCCCGGATGTCCCTTAGCACCGCCCCTTATACTAATACCCAGTCTCTCTCCTGGACCTTTATGCAAATGAACCTCCTATTGAAAGAAATGATGTATACATTTCAGTATAATAAACAAGTAAAGTATGGTCTCTCTTTGCTATCCGGAAAAAGACTGCATTTACTTAACAAGTCATCTTGTTAAAAAACAGGCGTCTCAGTGCTGCTGCTGTTGTTGCTGTTCTTTATTGTTTTTGTTTTTAGGCAAAGCAAAGTTGCACTAAGTTCTGTGAAGTGGGGCGTGAAAGCTTTATTTGCGATTTTCGGAATCTTTTCAAAAACAGTCAAAGAACTTTTACAATAAAAGAAAATCATTTGAGCTAACAAACCCTGGCTGCAAAAAGGCTCCAAAATTTCAAAAACAAAATGGCCGCAAACCGGAAACAAAAATCCTAACTTTTTGTTCTAACGCAGACAACATTAGAACCGTTCATAAATAGTTCGTGGGAACTAAAAACAAGCAATAATGGTCCGAATTGTACGAAAAGAACACTGTTGTAATCCAGGAGATTAAAAAGCGGACAAGGTTGCCGATTAAAGACAAAGACTAACAGCTTATCTCTGATAATTTTACTCCTGCCGTTGAAAGAATAATTTTACAAAGTAACCTGGTTGTAAACAAACGCTGGTCTCTTAAAAGCCAAACACGCAGAGGCAAAGTCCTTCTCGTGCTGTTGTTCTAAAGAAAACTTGGCGGACAAACTAATGAAGTTTTCATGGCCTTTCATGTTTTGTCAAAGTGTTGAATTTTGCCACCGCCCTGGATCTTATTGTAGTAAGCGTGAAAATACACCCATAGCGAGACTAGCTTTAAAAGCCCTAAAATCTTCGGTCGCTTTTGAAGGATTAGTTCTTGTTCAGCAACAGCCAGTATACTTTATTCGGCTTAGCGTCAAAAAGGTAAAAGAAAACACGAAAGGGAAAGGAGTGTTTCTTTACTAAGAGATTACTCTCTTCTAGGAAATTGCCAATTAATAACGCCGCGCTATTTTACTACTTTTCGCCATGGGCGAATTGTGGACATCACTATGACTATTATTAGGAAACAATCGACAGATCATCAAATCATTACTTTTCAATTCAAAACATGGTTTATTTACTTTACGGATAAGCACTATTGAAAACACAAACTCAATGATATTTTTAAGGGCTAAAGAAGGGTTTATACCTTATCAAACTGGTTACTTTCTTTGCCTTTCAGAGGTTTGATGTTTTATCTCTGAAGGCACAAATCGGCCGGCAAGCCACGCTTCAGTGAAGAACAACAGTACATGTACTTACAAAAAAGGGTCGATAAGCAAAAGAAAACACAAGATTTTTTGTCAAATTGTTCTTTTACGGCCGGTTTATCAAAGAAGCAAGACAAAAATCAGGTAAAAAAGAAAAAAGAAAATGCTATGAATTGTGGGCGTTTCGCCTGGTCGTAAGTCGATTCATGCGATGACAAAATAATCACGGCGCGAATCTAGTTATGTCCGGGCGAAACAACTTCGGGGGAATCGCCGTTCGTGCGAAACGACCTGTTACCAATACTTTGCCTTACCTGGAGACCTTTTGGTGGTGGATCATGGCGGACAAGAAGTTTTATGAGCGAAACATTCGCTATTAGAGCAGCTACCGCTTCTTGATGAGTAGCATTTCTCATGTCCTTTCCATTTACCTAACGTGAAGAAAAAAAATGCAAAGTGTTACGTAAATCATTAAGCAACAGAAATAGAGAATTAGCGTATATTAAGGTTCAATTTATAACTTTACTCCATCGTAATGGTCTCGAAACTACAAGTGTCACTGCGCGGCTTTCATTTAAACGGAAACACTTCAGGATTAGAAGTACCTTAGCCAACACTTTATTATTTAACACTGCTGTAAAAGAAGTACTGCCAACTTGAAAGACGATTGCACTTTAAGATTTGATAAATAGACTCAGAATATAAAGTAAAATTGTACAGCAGAATAAACAGTACCACAGAAAAGTACCGCTCATAATATTTTATTTGAATTTTCGGGGACCTGGAAGACTCGCTCAACTGAACAACTATAATAATAAACAAAAAGAAAACAAACATTGCCCAGTTACTGAGGTATGAAAACTATTTTGCCAGTCATGCAATTTGCCGTGAACATTACGAATCACACTAGACAGTATAATATTTTCCCAAATTTAACAAATACTAAGACATTTTTAATAGACTTCACGAAATCTACTTCGTTGTATCGAGTACCTGTAGATGTTTTAGAACGAGAAAAGAAAACTTAACAGAATTCATACTACGACTTTTCGTCAATAATTCTAGTTTATGTTACCTTACATGCAAAAAGGCTCAAGTTATGAATTCTTTTACGGGCAAAACGATCTGATACCCACTTAAAACTAGTTATAAGCTGTTATATGTTAGACAAAACCATATTTGGGAACCTAACAGACTTAATTTTACCATTTAAGTTCAAAATTTAAATGGTTAATTCGCCTAAAATTCAACGAAAGGAATAAAATAAACACCATAAAGTATTTGCTCATAAAGTACTCACAGGAGAGGCTACTCAAAGTTAAAAGATTTAAGCTGACACTACAAATTAATTGAAATTTTGAACCAAAGATGTAAGACTGGGTTTAAAAATTACATGACGAAAAAAAACTACCTTTCTGCGAAGGGAAGAAGCACATGGCCAACTCCTGACCATATCCACACCGATCATTTCTTTTTTGGATGTTCTTACTTTGGTTTCCTACGCTTAACTGCTCACTTGTCCCGTTTACAATCGCTCACATAAGCATTTCATTCAACTGCTTTGACAACCCGAACGTAACGAATACAAACAGACATGTAATAATATCAAATCCCTAGCGAATTGCGCCTCCACTTTTCATCCATTTTTTGCCATGACGCGAACAATTTTAATTAGCCCAAAGGGGGCAATTTAGCCCGATAAATTCGATTTTGTAGACTTTTAAGAAGACTTCGCGACTTTGATGGCCCGACAAGATGGGCCGCTTATTATCTAGGCGACAAAAAGTGCATTTGCCGAAGTACATCTTTTGGAGAAGGTTGTATACTTAAGGGTCGGCGCGTTTGAGAAAACTCTCGTGCTTGATTGGTGATGGTTCATTAAATAATAGAACTAAAAGGCTATTTGATTGCACGCGAATGCGAACACTCCACTCGTGTAGTACCGTAAAAAGTTGTCGAGGAATTGCTGACGTCTGAATACCGATGCAACTATGCTATATACATGCAAAATGCACGCACGCTCAGGTGCAGTGTTAACCAGTTTAATTCTTTCTATGGAATTTCACTGAATTTTTCGCGGAATTGTAAAGGTCAACTTTAGGTTAAAATAAATACATAATATTTCGCAAGTATCGCGAAATCTAAAAATCCCTGAAAATTCACTTAAAATTCAAATTCAAATACTCGCGAAATATGGCTTACGCTTTTTCGCGAAATTGAGTGAGAACAGGGTAGAGTGCTCCAAGAAGAGAAAGCAATGAAGTATTGGTAAGTTTCAGTTTATGACAGCTGGTCAGTTTATAGACTTTCTACAAGTCGACCTCTTGGCGAGCGGAGCGAGGACTTTTTTGACACAACTTTGCTTTATTTTACGACGCATATTCCTGTTCATTCACACTGACTTGTAAAAAGACGGGAAATACCAGTGGGGTCGTACGAACGTGTATTTCATAGATCTATAGTTGTATATAAGCCGTATAAATTTCTCCTAAGTTACCACTAAGCAAATACCTCTAATTTGTTTTTGACAGCGAACAAGTTGAAAAGAAGAAAGTAAACACAGAAAACAGCATCCGGTGTCTTTTTTTAATTCAAACCAAAGACTAGACAAATAATAGACGCTTGACTCTCAAATAAAAGGGAACTTGTGGGCAGTTTGCTTAATCGTGTCGCCCCGGAAACTGCCTAGAGAAGTTATCAATAGCCAATTGACACAAAGGACCGGTTGTTTACAACAGACTAGGTTTATGACGCTAATAAAGAAATTAAGTGCGGAAGAAGTTTTTGAAGTAACAAAATATCTTATGTAGCGGAATTTCAGCCCAAAAGATTGGATCGTCGCGCAAAAGTGAACAACAAAGTACTGCTGCGGCTGAAACCCGTCACATTAACGACAACCAAAAGAAAAAAAAAATCTCGTTGTGTTAGGATAATAACAGTTTTTGAATATTTTGTGGTCAGAAAGAAATCGCTGTCTAGTTTAACACAAAGAGTGATGACCAGACAAGTCTGGCTCACAACTCAGACGTTTGGAAAAACGCATCTTCAATTCGTCAAAATAGATCTTCAATGTTATTGACAATCTTTTAGCCTTCACAATGAGACTTCTGCCACCTTCTTAAATAAACACAACCAAACTGTGTTCTTGAAAGATCCACGCCCCTTAGAAAAACCGAAAGGCTAAAATTCCGTGACTCGCGTCATCGTGTTTCCATCTCCTAATTGCCTCCGAGTCCAAAGGTGAGCATCCACCCATGAACTTTCTAGTCCGACAAAAAAACAACCAAAAATACCTCCTCTGAAAAAATCACTAGAACTTTCTTACTAGGAAAAGCTTTATAGAGAGAAAAAACTAAGGTTACTTCCAAAACTCCTGAAAGAGGAAATGGGTTTGGCCAAAAAAAAAAAAAACTCGTAGGTGTTCACTTGCCAGCCAACGTAAAATAGAACTTGAAAAAGAAATAACAAAATCTCTGAATTGACGCATTTATATTGAAACACCAGTAATACCGATTTCGTTTCTGCTGTTCCTTTTAGAGCAAAAGTCTTACGTGGGCAGTTAAGGCGTTGCCAATTGTTCTTTTAAATTTTTGTAAAGACGATTAGATCACTTGCTACCGTTATGTTCACTAATAAAGCTGGCAATAAAACAACCGCAATTGAATATAGAACTAAAGAAGCAGACAATGTTCTTCCCTCTAAAATTTTGTATAAGGCGAAATGACTACTTGCACGGCAATTTCTGTCTACTAAAATAAATCCGAATAAAAAGAAAACTCTACGGCTTCAAGCAATGTAACGCGTCGACAAAGCAACCCTGTTTATATTTTCAGTGACCAAACATACCGCTGGCGGGGGGGAATGTAACGCAAAACATTGTTTTATCCCGAAGGCGCTTTCTCCATTTAACGTCAGTCTGTCTCCTTTCACCTAAATTAACCTAATGTTTAAGACGGTTTCTATGACATTATCGCTTGCGGTTTATGTCGTTGAGTTTGGCGGCGTCCATTTAAAAAGGCGGTCTCATGTTGCATTACGTAAAAAAACGGCTGCAATTAGAAACAAAAAGCTTATGAAATAAAAAGAAGCTAAAAGGTATTCGCTGTCTTTAAAGTAAGTCGATGCAAGAGAAAAAAAGGGCCATTCTACTATCAATGACTTTGTCAAATCTAAAAGAAACGTTCTTAACTCTCGGACTAAAATTGGTCGATCTTAGTCTCTATTCGTAGTTGCGATTCTTCATTTAAAAAATTAACGGTATCCATATACAAATTGCCATTCTCTCATTAACAAATGTTGCGCTATGGCGCTGCCTTTTTGTTTGAAAGCTGCCGCTTACAAACATAAAGGCGCGCATTTGATAACTTACGTCAGAGGTTTTCAACTTTGTGATTGGCTCTAAGGAGAGGCATTTGTTGATTACTCGTCAATTGCCCAATGATGCTTGGCAAATATTTGTGTAACTAAGTAATGTCTTCGATAAAACTCTAACATACAAGCGATTCTTTCCCCTAGTTTTCATATATATCGTGCTAAGAAGTGATTGGATAATTTAAGACTATAAAGGCTCTCACCATTAACATTCTATCTCCCACCCGCAGATGCGTCGTTGCTGCGACTCCATTTGGAACAATCTAGAAATTAACGGAGGATATACAATAAGAGTAAGAAAGGGATGCAGCTTCAAGGGGGAGGAGGGTGGGGGTACACCCAACGAAAGGGGTATCTTTTTCAGGCTTCAGGTATATGAAAGGGTAGGGATTTCACTAGTTGAAGTATATAAAAGGGTAGGAAAATCTGTCATTTGGGTCTGTTAAAGGCCCCAAAAGGGCTAGTACAGATGAATTTTATGGCTTCAGAAAGTCGAGAAAACGTTCTTTCTCTCTTTCGATTCCCATTTAAAATTTAGTACATTAACAGCAGTTAAAAGGGATACAAAGTTTCAAACAAGGTATGTGAAAAGGCAACCATTTGCCAATAGAAGGTATACGAAAGGGGTACCTTTTTCGTGAAAAATGGTGTATAAAAGGGTAAGGGGTTGGACCTCTTCCCCCACCCGGGTGCAGCTTACGCCGCTGCTGACACGCGTGACCAAGCTCCACTCTTGCCCCAGACCTTTGCGCTTGTGAAAACACAGTAAAAAAAAACTGTACGACCAAGATCGCTGTGAGAATTGATAGGAAAAAACACTCAATGAGAATTCTTACTTTTTAATTCTTTACTTTCGTATCACAACGATTGTTCATTTCCATTTCATGAAATAAATATGGTGTTAAAAAGTTGCCTGCTCAGCAAGAAAATTAACTTGCCCCGCCCGGACGACCGGTCTGGCCTTTTTCGAGCCCTGTCATGCTGTCTAAGAAGTACTTCTGTTTTGCACTCACCTTGGAGATAAATATTCCTGGTTCATCCATGCCGAAGGGGTGACTGGCATGATCCGAACCTCCAACGATGCTGAAGCCTAAAGGATTGTTTCCTTTCTTTAAAACAACTTCCTACAAAATAAAAAAAAATGAATTGCAGTTCTCAAAGTTTTATCGCTCTGTTACGGCGCCGTGCGTCACTTAACGTGATGGTTCCAAAGGAACAACTGTCATGGAAAAGGAGCAAGAAAATTCTTGAAAGCCCTCCTTCTTCATCTCGGTTCTTCTTCGAAATCTTATGTCCGAAATTTCAGCAAAAGCTGTATACGTTTTTCACTTTCTTTTTCTTTTTTTCCATTATAGTTGACCCTATTCAATTAAAGCAGCAAAATTTGGATGTGGTCGTTTCGGTCGTTAATGTTAGGAAGGACTGCGCATAAGTTACGTGCGAGAATTGTGAGAGCAAGAAACTGTATTTAACAGGGTTTACAGCGAGATTAAAACGGACAGACTTAAAAGGGTTTACAAGCAAAAGATTCAAAAACGGAAAGAAAAACTATGAAAGAATTGTCTTGGACTGAGGAAGAAGTAAAAGGTCAAGTCTTTCCTCTTCGTTCCTTTAACCCTTTAAGACCCAGTAACCACATACAAATTCTCCAAACTGATCTTCATACATTTCCTTAAAGTATCAGTTGAGAGAATTTGATAAAAGATCAAGGCATTTTTACTCGGGTGATCATTTTGTTAATTCTCAGAACTTACCCGTTGACAGTGTATGGATATTGTTAGGAGAAAATTGATCTTGGTCACTATTGGCACTTACAGGGTTAAAATCACCCTCCTGAGCCGAATCACCCACAAAAAAGATTGGAGTTCGGGCACTAAACAGAAAGTGCAGGAAGGGAGAGTTCATCAAAATCTAACCTCGATGTCCATGTCTTTGGTTCCGTTCGTTTCTTCGTGATTAACTGTTGGCTTCTCTGGTGAGACATGGTTCATTTCAGGCTACAAAAAAGAACGAGAATAGAAATCACAGGGGACACTTGTGAACCCTTCTAGCTGCCATATTTATGTGACGAAATAATAACAGGTAACTTTCACAGCCGTCTTGAAGCCATGTACCGCTTTTTGCGGAAGAAAGAAGGTTGAAAGTTAATTCACTTGAAAAGACGCCTCTCGTTGGGTAACTCTTGCCAATTGAAAATGTGTTATGTTTGAGTTGCTTTCACTGAGAAACGATTCCGAACACGCTATTAAATATTTGGTGCTCCTGCAAAAGAAAAGTGTTCGTCCTTGTCAAAAAATATAGCGTTTAAGTTCCAAAATTAACACCTGATGTTTTCGGTTCATGTTCTTTCTCTACCCAATGAACAAGACACACACAAATACTTAACAACTGACCAATAGCGCAGTATACGCCCTTGACACTCCCCCACCAAGGTGATATCGTTACCGAAATGGTACACGTAGTAAAACAACAACTTAATCAAGTTTCTAACATTTTAAACAGCAAAAATTAACTTTTCCTCAGTCTCCGCACTTTGAATTTCTAGTTTTTTCTAGTTTGTCTCCGTTTTTTCTGAAAAAAGTTTTTTTCCAGGAACAAGTACAGTGAAACATCTATTAAGCGGACACCTTCGAGACCTTCCCAACTGTCCGCCTAATAGAGGGTGTCCGCTTAACAGAGGTTTTTAACAATAGAAATTAGCCTAATACAATTCATTTTAGTGTCCGCGTCCGCTTAATAGGTGTTCGCTGAATAGGGGTTCGTTATAAAGAGAAAGAAGACATTAATATCGGGACCCGGCTTAGTGTCCGCTTAATAGAGGGTGTCCGCTTGATTGGGGGTCCCCTGTACTCTTATTTTCATTTTCTCTGAAAAATACGCTCGAATAATGCTTAATGCTGTTGCTTCACTGAAATGCTCAAAAAACACATTGTCATGATTTGCTTCAGTGACCACCAAACAATAGCTGCCCAATGCACAATACATACATATTTAGTACTCCTTAAGTCAAAAACAATATACCGAAGTTAAAAGGTCAAACGGCAAAGAGAGGAGTACATTTAAATGCTACAAATAACCCTGGCATAAAGCTTATTGCAAACAAACTTAGATTAACTATTATCGTCATTATTACAAAATACTTAAATAAAGCAATGTAGCTAAGGCTTAACGCATTAACTTAGCGTGGAAGGACCTAACTGATTCTGCACAGACGGCATCGCTAGGTAGACTGTTCCAGAGAGGGGTACCCTTGGGAACAAAAAATGCTTATATGCATTTGAATTTCTCAAAGGATGATTCGCTCGAGTTTTCGAATATGAAAGCTGAACTGTATTTGCAAGAGGTATATGAACCAAGTTGTTAACAACTTTATACATAAATGTTCAATTCCCAATTCCCAAAGCAACCTTTATTGAATCAGCAATATAAGCCCAGGGCTTACAAGCACCAGTTTACGGTATCCCGACCCTCTTTATACGGTAAACGTCCCGCTCCTAACCGCAGGCTCACAGAATAATCGTAAAGTTTCGACCTGTAACTAACAGAGGTTCCTACCTTTACACCCAGTTTCTTGTTAAGAAATGACTGATCCTGCAGTTTAGACAACGGAAGCATTCTTTTGTTGATGACTTTTTCCCGACAAACCACTAATGTGACGTAGGAGAGGCCGCCTGTTAACATGGCAACCGCATCCTCATGTCTGGCGATTTTCATGTCCTTACCATTAATCTGAAAAAAACAGAGAGACCATGCCTTGTTACAAATAACAAGGAGCATCATTACTGAGCAGCCCCAGCCCCATATTGGCCAGTACTGGATTCTGAAGTGTTCACGCTGCCGTGTCTGGTCGGACTCAACCCGTTTTTGTCCGGATAAATATTTATTACGTCATATCTTTATAAAATTAAATCTTCCAACAGAAGCGTAAACGACAGGAAGAGTGCCCGTTCATCCAAGGATTTGCATGACCGGACAAAGCCGACTTTTGACCGAACATTGTCCGTTGACTGGCCATTACTTCAAGCCCTGAAAATGGCCGCAGATTGAAGCACTGTCGCTACAATGTGCGTTCGCCAATTTTCTTACCGAAAGAACTTTATCTCCCACTTGTAGTCTACCGTCTCTCTCCGCAGTACCACCTTCAGCAATCTTAGAGATAAACACTCCCTGAAAAGAAACAACAGCAAACATCAAGAAAACATTCAAGAAGAAAGTTCTTTAACTAAGGACAAGAGAGGATAAACCCCTCTTGCTTACAACCTTCCTAAATCCGTTAAATCTCTCTGTGACACCAGAACTCTTCTAACGGCCGCAGAGCACTGATATCGTAACTCGCAGGACGAAGAAATGCGGATTTCATACTCGACCGGATCAATCCTGCAAACCATTTGACCCTTGGGAGTGCCCAGAACGGATAGCCATATCACTTGGAAGTGGCGGCCCTGTCCCCCAGGTGAGGTCATAAAAGCAGTACTTTAAAGTGTTAAGCACTAACGGTCGATTATTAAACGAAGTCTACCTTAGGCCAAATCTTTGGACCTCCAGATATCTTCCTCAGTGGGCAATTTTAAGAAAATATGTGCTATTGTAGACTACGCCTTATAAATTATTAAGTGCATTCATGAAACTTTTCATGATAAATGGCGTTAAGATAAAAGCATTCGGCGACCTAAAAATGGCTTAGAACGCGGTTTTGTTAAACACTGGCTAAACTCCGTTTAAATAACTGGCCCTAACAGATTTAATTCCAATTATTTGGCTGAATTCCCGGGCGGGCAAGATGATCGGAATCCTGTACTCTAATTGGCAACCCTAGAGGGCACTGATAGACCTATCTTGCGCGCTTGGGATTTGCCGCGTTGGTCCCGCCAGAAAAAGTCCTCTCTTTGGCAATACGAAAATCCTTTATTAACGGACTTGTTCGCTGAAGATGACTGAGTATTGAACTCGTTCTCTGTTGCGCTTTTATGGTCTTCTATAAACCATCACTTCGTCCTACTCTCGGTCCACAAGTACGCAAAAACTAACCTTGCCAAAACCCAGCCATCTTCAGGTCACGATTGGCCAATAACGCATATTTATCACACAATGAAGTGAATCAACTTACCGAGTCCCCATCCTTATAAGGGGTTGATCCGCGACCTCCAGCAATGCTAAACCCCAGGCCCTTCTCGCCTCCTCTTTTTAACGTTATCGTCTCTTTCTGTGATGAGGACAAAACCAAATTAATACAGTTCAAACAGCAACAGTGTTACACAAAACTGTTACATTCACTTCGGAAGACGCACACCACCTTCTAAATAAACCAACAACCCTCGCACTGTTCTACATGTATCATGCTTACCTCGACTCTTGTTTGAATGTCCTCCATTTCCGGTTCTGGAGCAAAACGAACACCAACTTTTTTTGTTTCTTCTTTGGCAGGTTCATCATTTACCTGATAAAAAAAATTAGAGTTATCTAACTGCGATATAGTAATGTAATCAACAGAAAACAAAGCAATTAGAGAAACCAAAAGGTAAAACAACAACGACAAAGCTTCATAATTCACGTGCACTAGTAGTGGTCTTAAGAATGAAAATCTTGAGGAAGCTACTAAAATACTTCGAATAAACTCATCGTCTTTTGCACATTGAGCAATGTCCGTATTAAGATTCAAAATGTTTGTATACATGTAATTGTAATGGTGTTTGGTACAAGTATAAATGTTTGAATCCTCTAAAACTATTCCTCGCTGAGCCTGCTTGCATAATTGCACGTCAATGTTTGTCTTTAACCCAAGATGAAGTGTGGACAGTTTGGACATAAAACCCATCTTTTAAGTTAAGAGACCTTTTTACCTGTATGTTTTGTTTTCCCAATTCACACCACGTGACGGTATCCCAGAGAACTGTTTCTTTCATAATTTATGAAAAGGCAAAGGCAATTGGGAAATAACACATACAAATAAAACGCAATTGCCAGTAAATGTTTCAAGTTCCAAGATGTCCCTCTCTCGGGTTTGTAAGGTTACATAGTTAACTTAAGGGGGGAGGGTGGCGGGTGTTGGGGGGGGGGGAGGTTCATACCTTCGGTAGCTCAATTTCTGGTTCTTTGTGGACTTCATTGACCTCTTCCTTGCTGAAGGCCTCTTCCAGAGCTTCATCAATTGCATCATTGTCGTCGGATGCCGTCGGGAGATGTTCCCTGGACGTTGTCGTTACTGTTCGCTTCTCTAAATCTTCTCTTTCTCTTACTACAACTAGATGAATGTCATTTCCAGCATTTTTTAAAACGTGAACAGCTTCGTGGTGAGTAGCAGTTGAAATATCAACACCGTTAACCTAAGATTTTGAAAGAAGTGGCAAAGAGTTATAAAATATGACGAGGAAACGAAAGGAATAAAATTTGAGACAAACGACTCTTAAAACTTGAATTCACGTTGTTTCAAAATTCATCGCTCTTCTTCCATGGCGTCGAATTTGTCCAATGTTTGTGAATTGTTCTGGAGTTGAATTCTAAGACTGCGTGCAAACGGACGCAACATTGTTGACCAACAACTCTCAACATTGTTGGGTGTTACATGTTGCGTCCGTTTGCACACCCTGTTGCATGTTGTTGGATGTTGTTGCGTGTTGTTGCGCAAAGTTTGAAACCGGTCAAATTTTTCAGCCAACAACTCCCAACATTTCTTTTGTTCCATGATCGCCGAAGCGTAGCGCAACAATGTTGCATCCGTTTGCACAGCTCTTCCAACATTGTTGGGGCCACGCATGGCATTGCGCATGGTTTACAAAGACTTATGGGTTGTATCCTTCCCACGATGCACTGCAGGTCGCAACATTGTTGTGAGTTGTTGTATCCTTTTGCACACCACTGCCAACACGCACGCAACAACTCCCAACATTGTTGGCGCAACAATGTTGGGAGTTGTTGCGTCCGTTTGCACGCAGCCTAAAGGACTGTATCTAAGTTTAAAAAAGAATTAGAAAATCGCTGTCTTGTGTTCACGTCCTCCATAAAACGTGAAAATAGGCAGTTTCAAGTCGTGGTCGTACAACAAAGGAAAAGAAATGTACAAGAAATCGTGATGCACATGCAAAGTTGTTGAAATCGTGATGAGGTAACCCGCGTTTGTCCATATAATTGTCATTTGTTTCACGTTAACATGAAGGTGGGGTGATTATTTTTTTGCCTGGGGTTTTAAACAGGCCCTAAACCTATTTCTTTATTCCGTTCTGACTACCGTCCTCGTCGTCTTTGCGCTCCCTTATCCCTTTTTTTAACTCGGCAGATTTTAAAAGAAAAGGCGGACAGCAAGCAGTCTAGCTGCAAGGCTGAAGTATTTGATGTGATCTACCTTCAAGATCTTGTCTCCTGTCTTAAGAATTCCATCCTGGCCTGCAGGACCGTTTTCAGAAATCCTGGAAATGAAAATACCCTGACAAAAAGAAAGGAAGCAAATTTTATTTACCCAGTTGTTTACATGACGTTCAGAAGCTGTTTCACAAACTGCTGCATTTCTACATCTCAGATGACAGCACAAGGGCCCAATCTAATAAAATCGATAAGACGTATTGCCCTGACTTAGACTTCCTAGAGGAATTTTATTTTTAAATACCTCGTCATTTCCAGCGTAAGGAGTTGATCCTTTTCCACCCGCGATATTGATTCCAAGACCTTTGTTGTTACGATGGATTGTGTATTCAATCTGCGAGAAACAAGATTAGTCATATCAGATGAGATGCAACCAAGCTAAGACTCACCGTATCTATTATACCCGTATGGACGGTACAGTTTGTACCTCAATATAAATGGCGTCTTATTTTTCCAAGTATTAATGGCCTTTTGAAATTCTTTGAAATCTCAACGTCTTTACATACGGTTAACCCGCAGCAATTGAAACCAAGAAATGTTCCCTTTCCATCATAAATGTTCTTTTCATTTAGTGATTACATGTATATTCTTTCTTTCGTCTTCATGGCTTTCTTCTCACAGCCACAGCGATGGATAACCTCCTCTGCGTATCATTAATTTTGGTTTTTAAAAATTTAAAAGCGTTGTCTACTGAGAAGCTGTTACTAGGACCATCACGTAACGCCCTTCCCTTGTTGCGTGACCGCCCATTAAACAACTGCGTGACACTCTCCTACTCTATAAATATCCGTCATATGTGAAAAAACAATAAAACCCACTAATAACCTCTTCAACCACTTTAGTCACTGTCACGAGTTCCTGTTCTTCTTCTGTTTCAGCTTTATCCTCCTCGCTAGCTCGTCGGCCATTTTTTGGAGGTGTCGGCTTCCTCTTCAGCGTTGGTCCCTCTGAAAACGAAACATACCGGCCGATAAGCAGGATCTTCGAGAGCATTGCAAATTCCTTTAAGGTGATGTTACACGAGATGACTCACATCAAAGATTTTTGGCGCAATATAGCGTGACAACATTGTTACGCGATGTTTCGAATGGTTACCACATTGTTCCAACATTGCAACGCTTTGTTGCGCTAAAAATCGTCGTTGCGGATCGTGCCATTTAACATCACCTTTAAAAAAGGACGAGCTTCTGATACTTTCAGGCTAACTTTGCAAATTCAATAATTAACTTTAGATCATGCCACAAATAACAACGCAGCGCTCTAATTTGGTTAGAAGTTCCTTTCCGGTGATGAACTGTCTTTGGCTTCAAGAAGACAGGATGATAAAACGGTCGTTAATTCGGTTCATTATACGTTTCTAGGAAACTGCCCACCTACCCCTCCCCTAAGCCAACATTTTGCCCTAAGTGAGAAGTGTCAACGTTGGCTTAGGGGAGGGGTAGGTGGGCACTTGCGGACAGGTGCAATCACCAAATGACGTAATACAGGAGATTGGAAAGACAATGAATACCCACATCAAAGCGACGAAACCAACAATGGTTTCCACAACACCAAGAAACACCCCCCCCCCCTCCTCCAAACCCCGCCCCAACTCTTCCGCTCCTTTACTAAGCCCTCTTTTTCTTCAACTGTTACGTTACACAATCGCATAATGTCAACCAAATTCTTCGAAAGCAACTCTACTGATGATTATCTGCAGATTGCACTAAACCAAAACGTTTCAGGCCACATACACACCTTTGAAGCCACAAAGCCACAATGCCGGGTTCGTCAAAACGGGGAGTTAAACAACTCTGTAGAGCGATTTCAAAAAGATGCTGTTTCGGTGTGCGGATTGCATGGTTTCGTGTGGACAGAAGGCCGATTTGTGTGAAAGTGAACGCCGTTTCAAAAAAATCCAGATTCGTCTTTTTGTGGCCTCAGTGTTAAAGAAGTGACTGATGAATTATGTGCCTTACAATGATACTTTGGAAATAAAATGAACTAGCAAAGGTTGCCGCCCCAGTTTTAACATACAAACGAATATAAGAGGTGTTAAACGCTGAGCATTCTGACTAACTGGCCGTTTAAGGCACAGGGACGAAAAGCAAAACATCAGCCAATCAAGAAGTGAATTACGTTGATAAACTAGAGGCTATCAACATGACCATCGCAAACACGATTTTGAACGAGGAACTGAAGTTGAGTTTCATAAAATACCCGTAACATACGGCAAGTAAGTTGAAACTAGGCCCTATTTATAACTTTATCGAAAAAAGCAGGTGGATTTAGATGCAATAACAAACATGTGCAGGTATTTTGTCTCTCCTGAATTGCTGTCGTTTCGCCCGAAAGTCGATTCACCTGACGGCGTTCGCAATGACATTAGTCGATTCGCCCGATGACATAAAACACTCTACAACGAGGTGAACATACCTTTCGAGATGTTATTTTAGTTACCCTTGGATTCCATATGTGCAGTGAGTCACTTTATTCCCTTTTTAAAAGGCTTAAAGAACAACAGATACGCTTCGGGCGAATCGACTCGAGTATGGGCGAACTGCTATCGGGCGGACCGACCTTCGGACGAAACGACCTGATACCGTCTCTCCTCCATCCCACCATCACTTCAAATTCAAGACTGACAAGGTAACTCGGCAGTAACGAAACTATTTCTACATCTTCAACGTTCAAGAGAAAAGTACTATCCTACAAAAAGATATAAATGGCGTGTTCAGAGTCGTAACATCGACTGAAATCTCACAAGCGATGGGAGAATGCGAATTTCCTTTTAAAAGAAAAGGTATCAGTTTAAACAAAGATAAAAGAAAATGACTACATTAGGCTCATGGCCAAGATAAACTCTAAAACGGGCGTTGTGACTTGCCATCCTTACAAAATGCTTATATAACAACAACTACTTCTGTTGGCAAAGGAAGATCCCCGCCAAACACAGCGAGCAAAGTACGACCTCGCACAAGGTAAGGGCCAGTTTAAGTTCAAAAACTGGCATTTTAACACGTAATGAAGTGACACTATTAGCAACCCTGATATCCGTGTATACTAAAAAGACTTCAAGGTAGCAAAACGAAACCGAAATTGGAAAAGAACATCGCAATTTGTTTCTAACCTGACCAAACTAGAGTGAAGGGCCCATATTTTCCAACCACAGCAACCATTTTGATGTTGAGAAAGTGGAACGAAGAAAATTATTCAAACAAACACAAATCTGGATGATTTTAGCAGGTAGTTTCAAATGCTTCTTATGCAAAACAGCTTACACTTCATTAAAACTTGTGGTAAAAAACTATGAATAATTCAGCGCAAAACCTCTGCTGATTCTTAAGACCTGATTTCACAGGCAAGTTTTCCACATCTAGGGAAACTTTCACACATTATTAATGGTGAAACTTGGACTGTTTTTCTTCGACGTGGTAAATAATTGTCTAAAACAATTTTACTCGTGTAAATTGGGTTCAAACAAATTCTTGTTGCACCGTAATATATAGAGAATTGAAGAACATTTTAAAAAAGAACGTAAAAGAAAAACTACGTTTAAAATGGCAAACGTCCGGTATCATAAAGTTGGAAAATGGCCTGCCTGTTTACTCTTTTCTTGTTTTACACTGTCGCTGGAAAAAAACAATACACCTTTACAGGCCACAGAATTAAAGAAGAAGGAGGAATGAAAAAGAACAGTAGTTAATACCACGAAATTCCAGCTGAAACACATAGAACTCAAGACTTGAGCTGTTAATAAAAAAGCATCTTTGTTGAAAGACAAATTTGAATGATCGCCCAGTGACTAAATCAGTCAAATCTATAAGGAAGTTATCTCTTGATATTATAATAAGGCAGAGAATACTCAGTTTTTTTTCTGTTGATGAAATTCCACGGTTTGCGATAGCCATTTAAATGCGGAGGCAAAATTCTGGACGATTTTCCTTTTATCCGAACGTGAAAGGCTAAATTCATTTTTTAAAAAAATTGTAAAATACAAATCACAACTTACAGCAACAATTAGTTGACATATTATGCAAAGCTGGTGATGAACAACCAGCGTGAAAATGTATCTTTCATTAGTTTAGCACAAAGAAGCGCCTGTTAACAAGGCATTAACGTTAACTTAAAAATTAATTCAAAACACCATGTATGCTTTGCAAACAATGCTTAACATTTTTTTAAATATGCTACCGGACATGCGCGTGGTTGAATGAATCCGAACGTTAGAGCCTCTAAAGTTTCCTCAAAATATTTTACACGGTGATAATGGGGAGAATTTGCTCAAAAATCAGTTCAGTTACTGTCATGATGAAAAACAAACAGGCTTTCAAATGAAAACACTTTCTTTCCAACAGTGCTAACAGTAAAATGAAACGAAACCCACCTTCCGCCTCGCCGTCAAGATTTTCATCTTCGTTCTAAAAATCAGATAAAACTCACTTAAATACAGTCAAATCAAGTTTAACTGAAAATTAACAACGCTGAAGTCACTTCACTTTCAGTACCTGGTGGTCAGCAGAATTACCTTACAGTGCATGCTCCGGTACACCGTTGCAAAAACACGTTAGGGAATTGCTGTTGTGGCTGTAATGTACACGTAAATAAAACGCTCACGAGGACTTTATAAGCACTATCTGCGTAGGAAGCGTTGCCGTCTGGTTTCGGAGCAAGACCGATTCGAGGAACGACGTGAAACGGCCGGGATTTTTGGTTTTGGCAGCGCGAACCACCCCCTCCCCGCTCTTTTACTCGCCCCATTTCCATGCGGTCTTTGACTCTCGTTCCTCGTTCTTTGTTCCGAAACCGCACGAAAACGCTTGCTACGCCGGCTATATAAGCACCTTTATATGTTATATAGTGAAAAACGCTGAGCAACATCCTATGTATGGAGTGACCATCCAAATGAAACCTCTTCAGCAGTACTTTCACATGGTACTATTTATTTAGTATTTAGTTCTAACTTTTGAGTCTGTGGATGAAATCCTATGGTGTGACCATTCAAATGAAACCTCTTCAGCAGTACTTTCACATGGTACTATTTATTTCGTATGTAATTCTAACTTTTGAGTCTGTGGATGAAATCCTATGGTGTTACCATTCAAATGAAACCTCTTCAGCAGTACTTTGACATGGTACTATTTACTTAGTATGTAGTTCTAACTTTTGAGTCTGTGGACGAAATCCTATGGTGTGAGCATTCAAATGAAACCTCTTCAGCAGTACTTTCACATGGTACTATATATTTAGTATGTAGTTCTAACTTTTGAGTCTGTGGATGAAATCCTATGGTGTTACCATTCAAATGAAACCTCTTCAGCAGTACTTTCACATGGTACTATTTATTTAGCATGTAGTTCTAACTTTTAAGTGTGTGGATGAAATGCTATGATGTAACCATTCAAATGAAACCTCTTCAGCACTACTTTCACATCGTACTTTTCATTTAGTATGCAGTTCTAACTAGTGAGTTTGTGGACGAAATCCTCTGCCGATTGGTGTGACCATTCAAATGAAACCTCTTCAGCAGTACTTTCACGTGGTAATACTTAGTATGCAATTGCTCTCTTCAATCTCCAGACGAGATCCTAAGAAGTGACCATTAAAATGGGCCCTCTTTGGCAATACTTCTGTGTGGTTCTAGTTTTACAATACACATTCATGTTCCTAAATTTACCTTAACTTAGGCCGCTAAGGAAGTGGAAGAGTTAAACACTTACCACTTCATTTTTCTGACCCTCAACGCCACTGCTCCCAGCTTTTGCTAGAATCTCCTTGACTTTGTCCTCGTTGTTTGACTGAAGGTCTATTCTCTTATTTTTCAGATAATGTGGTGTGTCCCGCCTACGCAGCTTTTCATGCTTCTCGGTTTCAGGATGGTCTTCTCCTTCAAAACGTATTTTAGGTTCTCTCCCGCTATCATCCCCGGAGCCAGAACCCTACATTAGAAAAAAAAGTCAAATAAAAAAGACTAGTAATAACCAAAGGTTACGGAGTGCGGGCGACAACGATCTAAGGTCAAACGCTTTTGCTCCAACGCAGTGAGTGCTTTGCGTAGGTTTATCGTGACAAATGGTCCAAACACGTGTGATCAGATTACGAGGGGTAGAAGGTCGAAACGCGCGTCATCAACATGCGTTCTGTACGTTCCACTCATTCTAAGTGGAAATCCAAACAAATGCTGGCTACATTCATGCGTCGCATGCGTAATAACAACCTGGAGAATAGGATTGCCGGCTCCTCTTGATGCCCGCAATTACTTACTCAGGTAGACGAAAAAAACTAAGTGGAAGTGCTACCTCTAAATCCTTATTTATTTGTTTATTTATTTGATTGTTGGTTAGTTAGTTAGTTTGTTTATTTGTTTATTTACATATGTCTGACCAGAACACCAGTTTAGTTGGACAAACCAGAGAGGTTCTTGGGCATTCGTTATATTGACTTTTAATTAAGTACCATACAAATATTTAGCTTTAAGATGATAATCATCTGTGCGTTCATCACGTCTGGCCGCAGCTAGGATTTCCTACTGTCTGATGAGCCACTGTTATTGGCGGCTATGATACAGTAAGGGGCTATTTACATGGAGGTAGGGGACACCAGGTAGGTGAGGTAACCCGCCTAGGTAGGGTAACCTGCCTGTCACACAATTTTTCACATGGTCACCCCACCTATCATGTAAACAAGCCCCAAAATACCAAGATAGATCACTAGCACTAATAAGGAACATTGCAGTGTTTGTAACAAACCTCTAAATCTACTCTGCTGTTTTCCTCTGGTTTAGGCTCTGCAAAACCAATTTCCTTTTTCTCAATTGTCTTTTCTGGTGCAGTCAGTTGCTTCTTGTCAACAATCTTAACCTTATCCTCAAAACTTGCTCTCCTTGGACGGAATTCTGAATCTGACCCACTTTCATCGTCCTGAAAGTATTAGACACAAAACCAAGTTCTAAGCCATTATAAATTTGGCTAACGCTCACATCTAAACAGACGTCTGCAGTTTACAGCACAAGAAGGCTTACAGCCTAAACTGAACACCATTAATTTTATCTGCTTAACATAAACACCTTAGTAAATGATGAAGGGACCAATAACAGTCTTAAACCACAGTCTAAGTCAGCCTTAGTTCAAATAACTATCCCACTGACTTGCAATGAATAAGGGCTTTACATTGCTTGTTATTGTGCCTTGAGCATGGTTTTGCTAGTGCAGTACATGCCCTCCCTCTATGGGGATCAAAAAAGTCCTGCCTGGTTGTCTGGAACAAATAAATGTTTCCCACTGGACATGTAACTTTCACACGCTCAATGGCCCAATGGAAATAACCCTTCCACACTTACAAGCTTCAGGCATCTACCACTGGCTATTCAAAATCCAACTCACAGAACAGAAAAAGTACTAAGGAGCCCCACTCTAACGACATCCGCTTCATACAGACACCCATATATAACGGACAGTTTCAAACACTCATACATTTTCTTTAAAAATAACTGGATTAATATGGACACTGGATAACATGGCCAAGCACACTTTTCGGTATCCTGAGTCACAAACTCTCATACCGGTATATTGTCAACGCCGCTTAATGAACAGTTCTTTTCTGCACACTGTCTAGGTGTATTTTGTATGGTACCCTTGGGAAGTGAACTGTCTGTAATAGAGAGGTGTTGAAGTTATGGCAATGCAGGTAAAAATGGGCGACAATGTTATTAACCACTGACCGTAAAAGATTTTCTTGACTTAATGACAACACCATCCAAGTCCTTGTGCATCTTGTGCATGCTTATCTTGGGATGTCTAGCTTTTAAATCCCTTGGGTGTGGTGTGTCATGTCGGACAAATTGAGTCTGCAAGAACGAAAAAAAAACACACTAAAATGAATCTCTACATAGCACAACAAATAACATAAAAAACTTTTTAATAGACTTCCCGAATTTTTGATCAAAAGGCAGCTTCAAAACTTCACAAAACTGATGAACGTCTTATACTGTTTTCTATCAAAGTCATACACTCTGTGGCCAAAACCTTAATTTTTGGAATCCTATTGAGGGACATGTCTTTGCCAAGACTTTTGCACAAGTCTATCACCGTTTGTTTGTTAATTAATTAATTAATTAATTAATCTTATCATTTTATTTTAGTTATTCATTTGAGACTTTCACATTCCCTTATATGCAGTTTATTTTTCCCATAACAGTTTTGAAGCACTGTTTTCAATTCCTCTTGGGATTAACAAATTTGCCTTGAGAAATTGAAATCAAAAGTTATGCAAAATTTTGTAGGGGAAGCAAATTGCATTGTGGGAAACATGAATGTCACAGATTTCCAGAAATCCACATACTAAACTTTAAGAAACATTTGTTTTTCTGAATAATATGTATTAATAAGAACATTGAAACACACTGAATAATTAAATATAGCCTTTTCCAGGCTCCAAGAGAGTGAAGAAAGCAGATTAAGAAAAGTTGTGAAAAAACCATGTAGGGGCTGGGGAGAGACAGAGTAGTGGAGCATGGAAGCATTGTTTCCAATATCTCATTCCAGTACCCCTGTTTGCTATTTCACTGCCCACTCACCTTTCTCACTTGTCTGCACTGACTCATTTAATGCCTGATACCGGCTAAGTTAAATATAGAAAAAAAAAAGACAAATTGAAAACTGATTAACATACCTCTTTATCACTGTGGTCTGAGTCTCCATCTGCAAATTGCACAACAGGTGGTAAGCTACCAGCCCGCGGTCTCACCTCATCATCGGCATCTTCAAGTGCGAGATTGTCAATAGCAAATCCATGCGTCAAATCATTTGTTATCATTTCTGACAAAGGAAAGAATTTGCCATTAATTAATATGGAAAGAATGCAAAATAACTACTGGTAAAGTGAAGAAATGTCTCCCACAGCACTGCACTTCCCAAGTAACCACATTTGCTAGTTAACACTTTGTGTTTGGATTCAAAGGGGATGCAAGGCTTTGCTCTAAGGAAAATCAAAGGGGGAGGGGGGCAGTGCTCTGAAACGGTAAAATCTAAGGTGCCCTGCATATGTTTTGCATGAAAAAACTAAGATTTCCAAGGTGCCCACAAGTAAAAATTGGGTACCATGGCCTACCAGAGCAGGGCATTTGAATTCATAGGAGATGCAAGGCTGTGCTCTAAGGAAAATTGAAGGGAGCACAGTGCTCTCAAATGGTAAAATCTATGGTGCCCAGCATATGTTTTGTATGAAAAAACTAAGATTTCCAAGGTGCCCACAAGTAAAAATTGGGTACCATGGCCTACCAGAGCAGGGCATTTGAATTCATAGGAGATGCAAGGCTGTGCTCTAAGGAAAATTGAAGGGAGCACAGTGCTCTCAAATGGTAAAATCTATGGTGCCCAGCATATGTTTTGTATGAAAAAACTAAGCTTTTCAAATCACCCAAGAGCAAAAGCTGAGTGCCATGGCCTGGCGAGCTCTGCCATAGCACAGCCCTGGGACAGGAAATTGTTGTCGTGGTAACTGTAAGTAGTAAGCCTAACGCCAGTTGCATTTCTCGAGATAGGTGGGCTCAAAAGTGTTTTTCTGGAACAATCAGCTGTTATTTAGAAGCAATACCTACGAGTGAATTCCATAATGTTGAGAAGCTTTAAGAAACCTGGCCCTGGTTTCCATATAATAGTCCAGGTACCTATTACTGTTTAAAAGTTGGATAGTGCAATCCACCATATATATCCCTAAGTATTAGGGAAATAAATCATGCTACCCAGTGGATAGAGATTTACCTATGTATCTCACTGGAGTTGCTCAAAACTTGGATAACACCATCCATGGGATAAATCACTATCCAGTGATAAGTGTGAGTTAAACCGATTGCATTATCCAATGGATGGTTATTTATTCAGTGGATAGTGTTCTCCATCTTTTGAAGAACTGAGGCCAGGGGGGTGCTGTCATCCAACTTTTGACCTACCGGACCCAGATTACCTTAGGAGGACTATGGAGACAACCCTCACCATAGCCTTGTTTTGATATGCTGCCAAGCTGCCTGAGACATAGCTGCCAGTACTGCCAGCAATATCATTCTGACATGAGAACAGAAGTCGCCAGCAACAAAGGCCATCACAGTCTTAACCACTGCCATGCCTGCGAAATAGACTTGAGTTCAACTTTGCCGGCATGCCTGCAGTAAAGACCTGCGATATTTCCTGTTGCATTTTCTCATATGTCTGCATAGGATCACAGGCAGTACCAGCAGTTATGTCGCAGGTAGCTCGCTGGCACATGAGAACCAGGCTTATCATGGAGAAGCCACAGTTTATGGGAAAATGACTGCATCCTTCTAACTTTTGAGTCTGTGGATGAAATCCTTTAGTTTGACCACTTAAATGAAAGCTTCTGAACATTATTCTTCCTTACATCAGGGTTCTAATTTTTGGATCAGTGAATAAAATCCAACAGTTTAATCACTGAAATGAAGCTTCTGAGCAGTAACTACCATAATTATTATGGATGCTCTTGGTCTTTATTTAATACAAAAATTTCAATTACTCTCATAGGTTCTGGTTTTTTCTACAGCAAAATTTTAACTCTTTTGCTCCCAATCAACATTGTGGCAAGATTATCTCTCCAGGTACTTTAAAATATTATAGTTATTATAATTAATTTTTTTATGAATGAAACTCAGTGCTATTTGTTTCTTAGGATTTTAACCAAAGGAAATTGGATTTTTTTGGTGATTTTTTTTTTTCACTGACAACTGTTAGTGGTAAAGGGTTAGGAGTTCTATATAACACATACTGTGCTGTCTTACTCAAATACAATCTGACTACAAATTACTTAATCAACAACAACAAGATCTCATATAAACATGTTCCAGGACAAAATTTTTCAATCTGTACTGCACATAACCACATAAAATAACACCAAACTTATAACTGATAAAAATCTGTAAATAAACACAGTGTCAAATAGGTTCCATATTGAAAATTCACATTTTGTTGTGTGTTTTAACTGCTGTTGAAAAGGAAAATTTGTAATGAAGAGTATAAAAATATATTTTGCCCTCTTCTGATTGATTAATTCTGATTCATTTACTTTAATATTGAAAAGCAAAAATCAAATAACAATCCACAATGAAATTCGTCATATCAGGAAGATAAAAAACATATTTGAGTTGTGTTTAATAAATATTACATGTATTACATGGTATTCAGCTCACTGGTTTTTATTGCAACATGTTAGACTTGAATAAAGCTAGAGCCCTTCAGTTGATATCCCCAAGGTTATGCAACAGAGAATATTTCTTCATAATATGATGGTTTCCCACAGAAATTATATCAATAATGTTTAGATCTAACAGTGATAAAATTAACCATAAAGACATTAAAACCTTGGCTGACTCCATAGGATCCACTCTTGCATCCCGAAACAAAATAGCGCCATTTGCGCAGAATAAGGGACGCCAGGACTGCGAAATGCGTAACACAAAATGGATATGTTTACTGCATAAATGCAAATACGCCTTAATGCCTTATTTTCCGCAATGCCACTTAGTGAATAGCTAGCATTTGGAATCATGGATCAGCTACTGATGTATTATTATTCAAATTTTCATAACAAAAATGTAAGCATTCTGTTTTTTCACCTGCCACTGATTACACACTATTTGGCATATTCAAAATGGAAAGTTATTTTTTTCACATCTCCACATGGTACCATTACAGTCATTTTGCCTACACACAAACACTACACACATAAAAAAGAAAACTTAAAAAGTCTGATATCTCTAAGAAAAAGCCCGGAAAATTTTCCACATCAGGAAAATATATTACTTTGTGATGTCACGTTAAAAACAGAAATGCATTTAACACAAGATTTAAAGATAAAGGAAACTTTGACTGCCTTAAAGTGGAAGGGGAAGCAATTGAATGCAAATAAGGGAGCAAAGATAATTTTCAATGTAAGCTGTCAAATTGTAAATTAAAAAAACGTAATTCTGCAGGACCTTCTCTGCCTGATTTCAATTTAACAAATTGACACTAGAAAAATATTCAACAAAGTGTACAACTGTGAATTAAAATTTCTTTTCTTTACTGGTGGGTGATTAAAATCTAAATTTTCAGGAAAGATGTATTGAATGATTCTTGGACAAATTATTATTCTATGTTATAATGCAAAATGTAACATCATTTAAAAACAATACATGACCTTGGTTTAAAAGCCCTTGACTCTTCACAATCACAATAATAAAATTTTCACAATGGAAAATAAATTTCATTGGATCACCTTTAATTATTCTTAAACACCTTTTACTGTTCCATTAAAAAGCCTTACAAAATAGTTGATTTTATTAACTTTTTCACTCTTAACAGTTGCCAAAGAGATAATTCAACAAAATTCAAAATTTCATATCATTAAATCTTAAAAAACCTAGCGAAATGCAAAAATACTGCTGATCTTCAATAGCAGAGTTATTCTGAAAGGCATTTCTCATATAAAATCTAGAATAGACAGCAGGGCTAAAAATAAAACTTGAATACCAACATGTCCATTGGGCAAGCAGCATTCACATTTTTTGGCCCAGGCCAACTTCTTACTTGTTTTATATGCTACTGATTATGTTGCAAGATGACTTTCCTGGACTCTTTCCCATTCCAGGCAAATGAGCTTTAAAAATTACTTGTCCAGGACTTACTGGACAGGACTTGTTTTTCGAGTGCTGATGGAAGGTTAATACAGAGGAACCCCCACAAAAAAATCACCCCCATTAACCCTGACCTTTCACTTTCAATAGTCACCAAACTAAAAATTTTGCTAAAAATCTTAACTTCTCTTTAAAAATTTCTGAGAAATACATTGAACAATGCAAAGGTTTTGCCTAAGAGGTTTTATTTCAGTGGTAATATCACAATATTTCCTCCACAGACTTAAAAGTTAGAACTAAGTACTTAATAAAGTTATAGTACCATGTGAAAGCAATGCTGAAGAGCTTTCACTTCAATGCTAACACCGTAGGATTTTATTCACAGACTCAAAGTTAGAACTACATACTACAGTTATAGTACAATGTGAAAGTGCTGCTGAAGAGGTCATTTCATTTGAATGTTCATCCACAGGCTCAAAAGTTAAAACTAAAAAAACCTATTAATAACAAACATGACTCACCCAGGGTGCAAAGAAAGTCAATGTCTTACAGCTTGCCATTCGGGCAGGCTGTAGCTAGCAAGTATGCTAGAAGTCATGTCAACTAGCCCCCCCCCAAATTAGTTTTTGGGTCTGCATTGACTACTGACAGCTTGTCTGTAATTTGAATTCTTCAAAAGACTTCACTTGCTTGTCAAGCAAGTTAGAACAAAATTCACTGGCGCAATAGCACAATCCACTAACCCTGGGCTGTCAGACACTAACTTTTAAATGCATGCTACTTACCTAAACTTCCAAGTCCTTGCTGTGGCAGCAGAAAACAGGTAAGCACTTTACTGTGAGTCTGTTCGTCATCATCTGTTTGAAGTTTCAGAACTGGTTGAGACTACAAAGACAAGGTGAAGTGTTATTTCATTATCCCTACAAACTACATGTACATGTACATGTACAGTAATGTAGCAATAAATCCAACAGTGGACTGGAAGGTAGGTATAGCCAGGGAGAAATGGGGGGGGAAGGGGTGGGCTTACTACAACAATTTTGGTGGGTGGGGTGGGAGGGGAAAAAGATAGCGTATGTTAGAAAGGTAGGGGTGGGTAGTTATGAAATCAAGACCAAGACTAAGGTGGCAATTATTACAAAATTCAATCTCTTATTACAAATTTGACCTAACAAAGTATATTTAAAGTTTCAAAGAAAATCTTAAAAAGGTAATCACTTCCTCACTTCTTTTTCACATTTTAGGTAGTGTTTTAAGTGTAGCAACCTAAAATGGTTGGAGGGAAAGTGGATGGAAAGCTGTAGGTGTCTGTTTCCTGAAACTTGGGGCGCTTTCCATTTGACAGAACTGGGCGGCCGGACAATTACCAGACCAGTCAGTTAGCAAATGAAATTTTGTTGTTACCATGGGTTCTTGCTGAAAAAGCATCTCCTTCGAGCATACTATTTAGGATTTGACTAATCTGGCTGGATAGTTTTGATTAAAAGTGAAATTCTCACTACAACAGGAATGGTCTGGCTAGTCAGTTCTGGCAAATGGAAAGTGCCTTTAGAGATGAAATTTTGGTGGATTAAGGGGCGAATAAGGGAGAGAAAAGGATGCAGTCAAAAGAGTCTGGATAAAAAATTGGTGCTTCACAGAAACCAAAAACTTCATACCAAGTTTTCATCCACATGACAAAATGCAAAATTAATTTGTTTGCCAAACATTTTCTAGGACACACATCATCTTATTTGAAACACAACAAGTACAAATATTGTGCTTTTTCCTAGCGACTGATATGTCACACACCTGGTTTTCTGAGAGCCATAAAGCCTTCAGCGGCAGTGTTCCAACAGAAAGTGGAAGACATTCTAACCTAAAAACAGATGAATCTTTGTCAGGAAATCCAAAATGCTAGCAGTGAACAACTGATTACTGAAACCCCTCGGTCAAGGCATTCACATCAAGTCAACGTTCACACGCAAGAAGCAGACTTTGGGCAGCCTGACATATCCGACCTGATTTGTGTTCACTCGAAAAAATACCAAAAGCACATAATCATATGAAGAAGCAGTCTGCTGATATAAAACTGGACAAAAGAAAGTCTGCTGTACATGTAGCCGTTTGAGAAATTCCCTAAAACTTTAAAAAAATTCCAGGTATTAAAGTCAAACTGCATGACATCAATAGCTGCCAATAGCTTTGTATTGCACTGGCATGTGAACTTTAGCTTTTGTAGGTAATAAACCAATTAACTTTTTATTACTTTGATTCTATATCCCATTGTAATCCGTTTCGAGCAGAAAGCACTAAGTAATTTGACTGTTAAATCAAAACCTATGTTTAGCTGAGTGTTCAGAAAGTCTTAACATCCTTCAAAAACTCTGTCTCCAAAACTGTGTAACAATTTTCTTCAGAGATTTGTCTCACCTGTTGCCAGATACATCTAATACATGAAGACTTTTACAGTTGCCTATTTCTGATGGCAGGCGTGATAACCAGTTTTCTCTTAATGAAAGAACACTTAATCTTGTACAGCTTCCAATCTGCAAAGTCCACCACACAGTTAAGCCTTCAAACAGTACATCAACATGCGAACCAGTAAAATTGATTCTCCTTATCAATTCCTACTACTTGCTACGGAAAGAATTTCTTAATAAATGTTCTTAATTAAACAAAAAGAAAAATACATTTGTACAATAAACATATTATTTAATTTACTACAGCAACTATTTCCTGATGGATGGACAACAACATGTACATCACTGTAATTTTTATCTCCACATTTCTTCAGAATCGGTCATTTTCAATGATTTTAAATACTTAGTGCCGGTCCTGTGAAAGTCGTTCAACTACAAACAAAATTGGAGAGTTCCATTGACCACTACAAAATAACAGGTAGTAGGGTGACTGAAACCATTGGGAAAATCAAACAAAATTTTCATTTGACCATAATAATTATGCCTGTTCATGTTTTGTTTCAAAATCATCATCAAATAATACCGTACCCAAAAACAAACAAGGGAAAATAATATTTAAACCACGGATAAAATTAAACCACAATAATATCATTACATTACACTTGAACAAAAAGAACCATGACATAGCTGTTTGCCTGCACTCAAATAGACTGTAAGCATTAAAATCTTGTACTAGACCTCACTTTTTGTGTAAGAAACTCTAATCATTATTTTCATCCCCTTAATGAAATGACTGCAGTGCAGTTAAGTTTTACCCACCTCAACTGGTAAAGCTGTGAGACGATTCCTATCTACATTAAGATGTGTTAATTTGTGAAGTTTCCCTATTGTTGATGGTAGTTCCTGCAAAATAAACAAAGACTTAAGGCCAGTTATTTAAACGAGGGTTTAGCCTGTGTTTAACAAAACCGTGTTCTAAGCCATTTTTCATTTTGCCCAACGCTTTTACCTAACAACTATTTTTCATGAACAATTTGAATAAAGCATATAGCAAAGACTGGAAAAGCACTTATTTTCTTAAATAAACCCCTCAAGAAAGATATCTGGACATCAAATGATTTCTTAAACTGCAGCCTAAGTTAGACTTCATTTAAATAACCAACCCTTACATTTCAATTAAATTTAAAGCAATATTTACCTGTGAACAATTACAAAAATTTTTAAAATTACTTGTACTAATAATTTAAGACGGAATCCATTCTACACAATTGAGTAATAATTTTAATTTTCAGTGGACGAAAACCTTGTACCAGAATAATTTCAAGCATATAGTTTATCACACTTTTCGGGCGCTATAAATTATGTAATAAGTAACAACAACAACAACAACAACATCTTTATTTCTTACATTAAATATACAAATATCACACCACCTGCAAATAGCAAGGCTAATCGAGGCAGGTGGTGTGTAGACGGCTTAAGATTTATTACGAATAGTTGAAGTGAAAAAGTACCATATTTATAATAAAAATATAAGTTATATGAAATAACTCCAAAGAAAAGGTTCTTATGGGAGTCTTAGGAAATAAACTTCAAAAGCTTCAAATTTTACTAAATGAAATCTTATGCATTATGATTTTACCTGTGTTTTCTCCATTCCTGTGAAATTTTGAAATTAATTTCTCGGGCTCCCATAAGAGATTGTCTTCGGTCTTAATTACATCTATAGCCCTTGAAAAGTGTCAAAAAGAATGTGATATGGGCTAAAACATTCTAGTACAAGGTTTTTGTCCACTGAAAATTAAAATTACTCAATTTGCTGATGGATTCCGTCTTAAAATATTTTATGCAGTAATGGGGGAAGGGGGGTATTTAAGAAGCCATTTCCAACAAAATGTGAAATAAAGCAGGGAGAAAAAAAATGGTTTCTTGTGGTTTACGCCAAGTTAACACCAATGCAGAAAGAAAAAGTATGTGCTATAAAGTACCCACTATATAATATTATATGTTTAAGAGTCACACCTCAAGAAGGTTTTCTGTTAATATTAACTCTTGTAAACTGGACAGCCTAGAATATGAAAGTAGTAAACATATAAACATATAAAGATCAATATTCTTGCAAAATAAAGTGCACAGTGCATGCTGTAGAACAGGTGGGTTCAAACCTTTCACAGTTGTAGTAGAACAGTTGCATTAATGAATGGGTTCTTTTTTTTTTATGCCCAGGAAAAATCTGTCTGGAGATCTTGTGTTTTAATGAAACAGAAACTGAAATTTTGTTTCAGTTGTAATGATTAATGTGTTAACAGAACTTTGTGTTGTCCAATTTTCTCTGTATTTGCACTCCCTTGGTGTGGTCACCCAATTTTACATGTATAATTTCACTTGTACGATTACAACCAAACTGGACTATGTTCTAACAGTCCTATTACCTTAGTACACTGACCATTATAAAAAAATTCTACAGATGTACATGAACTTACCCTCCAACTGCTGGCGTTAGACAAAGAAGCCGATTCTGGTCAACCTTGATAAGCTGTAATTTCTTGAGTTTTCCTGAAGTGAGCAAAACCAGCCACAAGATTAATACCAGTGATTTGTGCTTAAAGAAGATGATTTAAATTGCAATACACCACATGTAATCTTGAGAGACACAAGTTATGCACAAGATTGCAGGTACAAGGTAGAAACAAATAACTAAATCCCTCCAGAGACTATTACAGATAGAACAATCTTGTGAATACAGTTGCCAGTTGAAAATCCGAAAAAAAAATTACACATTGGGTGTTAGCCTGCGAACGGCAGACGTTTCTCCTCACTCATCATCATTGAGAGACGCAGTGTTCTCACCAGGCCGCGGCCTTGCGGGATTCCCGCAAGAAAAACTGAAATGGCGCATTAAAACCAAGAAGATGCGCCCGTTAAGGCGCAGGGGCAAGCTACGAGTCAAACGGACTTAAGTAGTTTTAATGGTCAACCTAACACTAAAGCATTCCGTTTGTTTGGATAAATATGATATCAAATGAGTCAAAGTCTTTAATTTTGTTGCCTTTACTTTCATTGGTCCCATGCACGTCCCACTACATCGTAAACTCCTCTTCTGCCATATTGGATCAGGTAGGTACTTCATGTAACAGACAATTTGGAGTGCGGGCTCAGGTTCTTCGTACCGCGTGTTTTTTGTAACTTTGTCCCCCTAATGTTCTTACAGGGCCCCTATTTCTCAAAAGAGGGGGCCCTGGGACTCCCCAAGGCAAAATCCTGGTGAGAACACTGGAGACGTTTCGCGAGGAGGAATGTCTGCGACTCAGTGACAGAAATTTCCATACTGATGATGCAAAATCTGTCCAGAATCCGGTCAGAAGCGCCAATTGGTCGACGGAGTAGTTTCATTGTTTTAGCTATTGTTTACGAATGACAGACAAAAGACAAAAGGCTGCAAAGGTCAAATGTAAACGCGATGAATCTCTAACAAAACAGTCAATATTTTTGGAATATAGTCTTCTCTAGAAGAAGATGTTCCACCATAGTGTTTTTGTCCACAAAGTCAAAAGTTAGATCTACTCTACTAAATAAATAAGTTTCATTTGAAAGGCCCCAAAAAAGAGGTTTTTTGTTCACAAACTCAAAAGTTAGAACTCCATAGTACATAAATAGCACCAAGTGAAAAAACTGCTGTAGAGGTCACACCTGTCCAAAGAACTTCATCCACATACTTCACTCAAAAGATAGAATGACATTATATATGTTACAGGTAAAAATTATATTCAGGTTAAAATTTTTTAACCTACGTTGATTCTCTATTGCCTTTGTCTCCTAGCTCTAATCCATGAATAATAATTTTTTATTGGATTAGGGCTAGGAGACAAAGGAAATTGAGAATCAACCTAGGACCAAAAAAAATTTAACCAGAGTATAATTTTGACTTGTAACATATACACGGTTATTATCATGGGATCTCCCTATTTTCAGAGTTGACTCTACTTTTTGAGCTAAGGAACAAATCCTTTGATTGGACCATTCAAATTAACCTTCTTTTTCTACCCCTCCCCCATCTTGCTACCAAAAAGTATGGATCATCATTAGTAACACTCTTCAATTCACACTTGCCTATAGTGTCTGGAAGCTCTTCTAACAAATTCTGCGATAAATGAAAGTCAGTGAGTGCGGTACAACCACTGATTTCATCTGGTAAATACTCTATTTTATTCTCTGAAGCATCAAATATCTGGAGCTTCTTCAGGTTTCCTATTTCCTATAAAAGAAACAAATTTATGGTTGGGGTTTATAACATACAGCTATACATAGAAACTAAGATACTCAGTGCATTATTCACCTGGAATCAGAACTAAATTCAACTCAAGCAAAAAGCAAGCTTAAAAATTGATACTAAGAAAGGTTATATAAAAATTAACACAAATTCATGGAAACCTATTCTTTAGATACAAAAAGCTCAAGCAAGTTGCTGTCATTGCTTAACTTCTTTCTCATAAGAGAGAGGTTCAGTCTCACATAATTTTACACTGTAAAGTACATGGCAATCATCAAATTTTACGATTTGAAGTTGACAATTTACAAAATCATAAAAATAAGCAGATAAATATTACCCAAAACAATTCTTATAGATAAAACTGACATAAAAAAATGCTGTATTTGTATAGTTACATGTAAATGATAAGCATTAGCAATACTTTGTCATGCAGTACAAAAATTGGCAGGCGATAACCTTTAGCTGTCAACATGATTCTAATTCTCTCTAACAATGCAGTGCTATTTGGAATAACTTTTCCTATTTACAGCCCTTTTTGTGTACCCTCTAAGCCTTTGAGCACCAGTTCTACTGCCTTGATAACACTTTATTCTTGAGTTTGTAAAATTACTTCATAAGGATAAACTCTATCTGTTTCTCAAAAGTAGGATTTTATCACCACAGTAAATTGTACAAGTTCTAAAGCAATAATAACAATAATAATAATAACAACCATAATAAATTATATAGCGCTATTCAGCTACTCTTTCATAGCACTTTACAATGATTATGCCAACGTTAAAAAACTAAAAGCTAAAAACATACCAAGATACCAAGATACACTGATTACAAATCTTAAAATATTAATACATGTACACATGTACAAGAAATAAACATTAAAAAATCTCAAATCTTAAAAAAATTAATGCTAAGATAATTTTACAAATAATATATATGTAAATATGCATAGTAGAAATAAAAAATAAAAATTATAGGCTTCTTCAAAACGATAAGTCTTGAAATGTTTGTTAACAAATTAAAGTTCTCTTACTGGAGGTAATGTCTTCAAAAGGTTTCCATCCAGCCATAATTCATTCAAGTTTGGAAATGATCCTACAATGTCAGGCTATAAAACAAAGCAACAAGAGATTGAAAATTGGGAAATCCAAACTATATTTAGAATTTGCCACTAAAACAAGAACTCCAACAAAAAATTCCCCCATGCCAAAATCCTTCTCTCAATGCAACTTGCAAAAACAAAATTACTGGACATCAATACTGCATGCACAAGTATTTACATAAACTTACAAGTTCTTCAAGCTCATTGCAACCCAAGTCAAGTCTTTCAAGCTTAGCAAGGAATTCCATAGAACTGCAAAGGATTGGGGGAGACATATATTAATCACTATCTTCTCATCACAAGACAATAACCCAGGCATGGCCAGCGCCAAGTGTAAAGTGTGAGACAAAATTGCACAAATGATGACTTTCATGTTGTTAATATTTCTTGTCGACTGCATGTAGATCTCTCTTGGGATTTGCTACAAGATTTGAATACTCTCCCTTATGTCTCCATTATTAATCCTAAACATTTAGGATGGGTTCCTTTGGGGTGATCCAGATCAGTCCAGATCAACATCATTGATCACGGGGTGCAAAGACAGTCAGTTTTACAGCTTACCCTTTGAGCAAGCCATAGCTAGCAGGTACTAACCCAAGTGTCGTATTAACTGGCCCGAAAAATTTTCGATGAGCAGGATTTATGATTAGTTAATCATTATCTATTAATAGAGTCCTAAAGTGTGACAAACATAAAAAATTAAATTTGTGAAATTATGGGATTTTTCAGAGTATTATGAAAGAACAACATCCAAAATGCCTACTTGACAAGAATTCGCATTCCAGGGCAAATTGTCTTTGAGGTAATAGCCCAGTTATGCTCATACGATGCCATACAAATCATTCTAAATTTGACTCAGTTCACAACATTACAGTACTACTGTAATTCAAAGTTTCCCAAAAACCTTCAACTGCACATTGGACAAGTTAAGAACAGAACGCACTAGCATGATCACAAAATCAACCAGTCCCGGGCTATCAGACACAACTTTCTTTGCACACTGTGATCCAAGATTACTGAGATCATGGTACTTCAAAGGAACCAAGAACAAATCCTAGCTTAGAGCGGATTCATTGGTTCATTTAATGCATCTTGATCCAAGGGATTGTTTTTAAATGTATTTACTTCTTTTGAAACTCACACTGGAAGGTATTTGATCAGGTTTTCTCTAGCTTCCAAGACTGCAAGTTCAGTTAAACTGCAAGAAATGAACAGACCAAAGTTAAAACACATACTGGAGAAGTATGGAAACTGTCACAGAACATGGACCTGGCAACATTAAATGACTGTGCTATTTGGGCAGAAAAATCAAGATCCATCATATGAATAACAGAAAATACTGCCTACAATGTTGACACATGAAAAAGGAAACTCAAGGAAGCCATTTATATCAGACGACAGTATTCAGCCCTAAAATTGAGATGGAGGTTATGAACTTACACTGATTTTATATCACTTGCTGACTAAATATACATTAGACATGTGATGGCACATACACAGTACTTGCTGATAAAGACTATGAGAAAAAGTCAAAAGCTCTAAGAGACCTGGAGACAAGAATTATTCGTACAGGTATAATATTACAATAATGTAAATAAATACAGAGAAGATCATCGCAGTGAAAGACACAACTTATGCAGTTGTGAAAAGAAATCATGAAAAAATTCAGGCTTGCCAGGATTTGAATCTGGCCTCTGCGATACCGGTGCAGTGCTCTGACCATTTGAGCTAGTAAGCAGGGTTGTCAGAGAGTTTTGAGGTACAGTGTAGATGGCTGAGTTGTCAAAGTAGGTGGCCAGTCCAGGGATATTTTATTTAAAAAACACCATCCGTAAAGAAATGCCAAGCAGAGTAGCCAGCCAATACTTATAACCAAGTAGGCAGCGATTTTCGCCAGCAGCCGGCTACTTTTGACAACCCTGTAAGCTAACGGAGAACTGGTCATTAAATTGGTTCATAATATACATGTACCCACAAAAGATGAAGATGAAATGATTAAAAGCAATGCACTGGTATCACAGAGGTCAGGGTTTGGCATCTGCATAAGTTGCTGCTTTAACTGCGATGATCTTCTTGCATTTACTTGTCCCCACCATTCCATGGTTCAAATAAATGAAATTCATATACTCATCATTTGACATATTTTATTTTATTATATAGACACCAGTGTTTTACTGGAAATATACCACTCGTAAAATTGATAAAAACTACATCCGGGCCCCGAGTGGTTCATTTTCCATAATCTCACACGTGAGTTTATCGATGACGTAATTTTGGCAATTTCCCTCTATCATTTTATCGATGTCATTTTGTCTCTATAATAAAAAGAACATTACACAGCGGCTTGAAGATATGAATTTTATTTTCTCGTGGCAAAAACAATATTTTACTCACTCGCTGCGCTCGTTCATAAAATATTGTATTGCCACTCGAAAATAAAATCCATATCTTTGTGCCAACGTGTAATATCCTCTACATAATAAGATTCCAAGATTAACCATTTAAGCCCCAATATCCACATAAAAATTCTCCAAACTGGTCTCTATACATTTCCTTAAGGAATAAGTTAAGAGAAGTTGGTAGAAGATCAAAGCATTTTCTCTTAGGTGATCATTTTATTAACTCCCATAACTATTTCTCTTGGTAACATATGGATATTGTTAGGAGAAAATTGATCTTGGTATCACATTAGCAGAGTCATGCATTTCGTACCTTCCAATGTCTGGAGGCAATCGAATCAAAGAAACATCATTCAGACAGAGAGAAGTGAGATTCTTGAGCTGTGCAAATCCATCAGGAAGTCTGCAAGAAGTCAAACAAAATTACCATAGTATTACTTCTGTTAAGACATAGCTCATTCCCAGGCTCACTGAAATTGGGAAAAAAAAGTTACTAAGCACTACCCCCAAATAAGCGCCACGGCCCTGATATAATCAAAATCAATAGACAGTAATTCTGTTAGTTTAAGAACAAAAACAAGAACGCTCTTAGTAGTGTTGAGTCTCGCTTGCTTGGATATAAGTTTTGTTGTCAAAGGCGCCGGAGCTGTTATACTACTTTTTCGTTTGGAATACAAAACGAGTGTTATATGTCATAATGTAAATACTCAAAAAGTAAAAATTGCAAGGAGGGACAGGCCGCACATCTTAGCCTCAAACCGGTGTGAAACATTTGATTTTACACTCAAAAAATTGAACAATGATTTTTATCAGTATCGGGGGAACAGTATCACTGGGATAAAGCGTTTCATTTTCCAGGAAAATTTCACTTTCTCGTCAAAACAATCACTGACGCAGAGAGACTCGGATAAGTTTACTTGAATTAAGTGTTCAGTACAGCAAACGGGGTTATGTTCTGTGAAATTTATCTACAGTCTGTGGCCCACATCATCACTGATCCACGATTTATTTATTTATTTTATTTTCAAGTCCTTTTTAACCGATCCTCGATCCTCGATCCTGATTTTCCAGTAAACCTTAAAGTTTATTCTTTTTTTCTTTTGACCACTGAAGTGATCAGTTGTTCCAAATGTGTGTCAAGAAACATATCAGTCTTGGAGAGTAATGTCAAAAGAGCATAAGTTTGAGTGGTATAACTTACAAATTTGCTTTACAGACCAAAAAAACAACATAAAATCGAATTAGAGATGCTAGTAACGAATGCAAGATCTAGAAAAGGAGGATATACTAACAGCTATCCTATTACTATTCTGGAAAACCAGATAAAAATTATGCTAAAGCTCATGCACGCTATAAATAGCCTGCTAAGGCACACAAAGAGGTAATCTTATTATCAAGTACTGCAATTCAATGAATTTCTTCTTAATCCTGTCATAAATACAGCAAACAGTTATGAAACATGAATTAGTCTGTTTCAAAAAAGGCTCTGTGATAAAACTGCAACAACTGCATACATAATGTTAGAGTCTGCGAAAAAAAAACAAACCTTGATGAACGTAAAAGGACAATTCTTTGTTTGCAAAGACAGAAATGTCAAAGGAAGGGCAACTACTTAATACATTTCACTTCAAAAATACAAATGTTAATTTTTTCAAAGGAAATAACAGAAATATATAATGACCAACAAAAGGCCTTACAAGTCGGAAAAGTCATTATGTTTTAGAGAACAGTTAAAGCGTGCACTTGTCATTGGCATTTCACAAATGCAATCTGAGGAATGCTGCCTGAATATACATATTATACAACAAAAATCACGAATGGAATCAACACCACTCCAGATTAAAAAAACTTGTAAATATACTTTATAAACTTTCAACAGCATAAATTTTATAAAATAGGATGACATGCCATCAAGATGGGTTTAATTCTGTTGCAGTTCTAGACTTTCAGGAAAAAGTATAAATTTGAAAATTGAAAAATATAAATGCATCATGTCAAATTGTTTACGTTTCTTTATGAAGTAATAAAAGATCAAGACACAGGAACTATTATAATATAAATCCAGCATATAACAAAGTTTACTAGCATTAATGGGGTACACAATAACTGAAATCTTTATGTTAAATGTATGAATTTACTCCAAAACAAAACTCTTGGTAGAAGGATTATAAGATTTTTCTGCATTTTGCGGTCAAGAGAGAGATAAATCGATTAAATGATGAAATGAAGTCGATCGACCATACAAGAAATTAGTGACTGGCATTTCCGACGTGCTAGAAACAGGAAAGCTAAGTTAAATTCGCGTTAATCTCTAGTGTTTATAGTAAGCCAAAATGTTTTGAGGGACAAGCGAAATTGTTTTGAAAGTAGGTCTACGATTTGCACCTGCACGGTAAGCTACAAAGAACAAAATATCAACAAAGAGGAAACGGATACAATCTACGTTTGCACTTCATTTCAATTCGAATTCATCTGCGACTAGAACTGATTTGCACGTTATTTGAGGAGGAATTTAAGCCAGAATTAAGGAAGCTCTGATTACCTACTGAAATGTTGAGCGGTTATGTTAAAGCAGTGATTATTTTATCTCAGACGCCAGTTAAAGGGTTTGCTCTATGAGCTACGAAAGACGGGAGTTGCATTATGAGGAAACTAAACTCTGTGTGTAAATTTTACATACACATCCCTGTTGTTTAGTTTAAACTATTTTTGTGTGAATCCCATCAGAGAACAGCATGAAAGGACAAAAGACAACCTTATAAAAAGGGCAAACCCTCGCTGATTGATCATTAGTTCTGTTTCTGCTCATCAAATTGGTTCTAATCTAATATTCTATTAGTCGCGTGAGCAAAAATCCGAGAAGACTTCTAACTGACTATATGAATTTAAGCAAAACATAAGTAATTTAGTGACCTAACTTTCCCTTAACACGAAAGATCATACACACTTTTAAATAGCAGAAGCATAGAGCTTTGAACGAGTAATGTAGCGGAAAATCACAACAAATTAACCGGAGAATCGACCAAAGGCCGAGGGTCGCTCGCTCGTTTTCACATACACAACTAGAACATAAACAAACTTTAGCAAAATCGAATGGGCTTCGGAAGGTCAACTTTTTACAAGTCGGCCTCACCAGTCTTTAGAGAAGATACAAAAGCCTCACCACACGTTGCTCCTTGACAATTAAAAATTGAAAATCTTGAGCGATCGGATAGATGACAGAGATAATTACAACAGACTCACTTCGACACGGGATTGCCGCTTAGGTCCAGTGTAGCTAGACTCTTGCAGAACTTTATATTCTCGGGAATATCGCATATATCTACAGAAAAATAAGAAAACAAATATTATTACATGGATCTATCACCTAAACGTGGCCTAATTTGCTAATATAACTTATAGTAGCAGTCGATGACTTCATAGGCAGTAAGATCGTGCTATAACAATATCAACTTTTTATCTTAACGCATAGCGTACTGAAATGTCGGCACCCGCTCTGCAAATACATACACATGAGGACTAAAGCGTACTCTACTAAAGGTTTTCGAAAGTATAATTCGTTTATCAAACAATATCTAACACGTAACTTACCATTTCTGCTAATGTCGAACTCTTGAAGGTTCGCTAAGTTGCCTATTTCTGGAGGTAACCGAGCGATCTCGTTGTCACTTAGCCCTAACCGTCGAAGGTTGTACAGGCGAAAGAACGGCTACACCGGGAGAAAAAAAATCGTGTTATTAAATGCTTCCAAGACTATTATTGACTGCATAAAGCTTTGAAATTACCCTCGGGAGATCTTTGATCTGGTTCGCGTCTAAGTAAAGCTCTTCCAAAGATCTATCGTATCGGTAAACCTCGTCGGGCACGAACGTAAGGTTACAGTGGCTCCTATCCAAGGAATCAACTTGCCGATTGCATCGCCAAAAAAGCAGCCAACGAAACATCTTCGCACTGGATGGAAGGACTAAGTGTTGAACTATCCACTTGTGGTCTAACGTTTGGTAGTTGTCCTAAAAATGGAGGTGTTATGAGTAGAGGAATATGCAGTGTGGTTTGTTCTTCTTTCTTATCATTTTGAGGAGACACGCTCAAGAATCAACACCATGTGACGTCACTAGCCGCCATTCCTCCCGCCCCATAATTCAGAGGGCGTAAGGCGTTAAAACCCTTTGCAAAGGACTCTGGGATAATTCCCTCGCCCTAGACTCTAGGGACTCTAGAGACTCTAGGGACTCTAGTCCGGGACTACCTGGAGGAAATAAAAATTTGCAGGAGCATACCTATTTTATTTTAGACTACCGTCGAATGTGTTCCAAACTGAAAGACTTCCGGTTTCGATCAAGTCTTCTTGGTCATTCGCTTCGCCGCTCGTGGCTTCAGCCTGCGGCAGACGTCCGGGACATCCCGCTGCGCCCGCGAAAAACCTATGGTTCCTAGGGTTGATTAACCGAGGGACGGAGGAATCATCTAGATAGGATCAGTGATCTGAGATCCCTTGAATAATAACACTGCAAACGAACCTATTGGTCCTTTCCCGGGGTGGATTTGTCGGTTCTGAAGTTCTATGACCTGAGTGATTCTGGATCATTGATCTTCATCCGGATCATCCCAATTGGCCACTCCAGAAAATACCATAACATACCATAATGCTTTTTGATTGTCGCCCCAAAGTTTTGCATAAGCATTGTCTTTAGTTTCTCTTGGGAGTTAAAATGGCCCCAAGAGAAACTGAAAACAATGCTTATGCAAAATTTTGGAGTGACAAACAAAGAACATTATGGTATGTTATGGTATTTCTGGAGTGGTCAATAAAATGCACCCCTAAAAGTATAAAATTCAAACAAATAAGCCTTAAGGAGTTGCCATTAGAATTAAAGGAACTGATAGACTTAAGTGATGGGCTTAATTTCAACAGATAAACAGAATGTCTCTCTTGTTATTACTATTTGACGAAGGCATTTAAGTTTTTAGATTACTGAAACAAAAAAACTGGCCTAAAATATATGAAAATATTTCTTCCCTATCGATATGTCTTAGTGATGACAGGCTTATTAACTGTAGTTGTCTTATAAGTCGAGGGCACCTTTTCTTTTGGGAGAAATCGACAGCCAGCGAGATGACGGCGATGTCCCCATGTCCTGAACAAGAGAAGAAAGTGCAGCGTTTATTAGTAGACCGTAGAGCAAAGATGAAGAAATTTGAGAACTGGTACTGTTTGCTCTTGTTTTTGCGCTGGCTAGTCTTTTAAAAAATAATTACATACACTATATATTTTTAGTCTAACTATTTTAGGGATACCTCTAGGCTCGAAACGTTTTGTAACAAGGGCTATTTATAGTTTTAATAAGAGATCAGCTAATTTTGATTGTTATTGTTTTCTCATCAAATAGCACTGGTTTCGTCAGCGATGACGATTTTTCAACATTTGTACCGAACAAATGCAGTTTGAAAGAACCTAAATTCGGTAAATGAAAGATAACGACCAAAGTAACCATTTGTTAGCGAAATAAAGCATCTCAATAAAAAAAACACAAGTACTCGAACCACACCCACCACCATTTTGGGGTTTACCAGTACTTAGTGTGATAGGCGCACATAAGAAACTTTTATTGCCGGCTCCCGTTTTGCAACAGGGACAAAAGAGTTCATTTCTGTTGTTTACTTATTTAGTTCTCGATTCGAATTCTCTTATCCAAAATTTATCGTCAAATAAATGATAATTTTCACAATTCTTTCTCCATAAATGGCATTAGTGCTTAACTGTCAAAAGGCACGACATGCAGATCTAACGAGGAAACCGGGGATTAATACAGAGAAAGATATCCCTTATACAAGAAGCTTTCCCACTCCATGAGCATGTCATGCTCTGTCGGATAGATTCTCCTGGATAGATTCAATCTGGAAGATACATAAGCTCAAGAAAAAGAAACATTCGGCTAGAACATGTTACCAATCAACAGAATTGAATTAAAGTGATGTAACCTATTTCAAACGGAATTCTCAAGCTGTTTTCCTTTGATATTCTCTTTCCAGGCCAGTCGTATTGACCTCTTCTAAGCGCAGAGGGATTCGAAACTTAGCCAGTCTAAAAATCTGTGGGACTGGCGTTTCTAGTTTCCTTATATATGACCCGATAAAAATTCACTTCTTTCGTCTCCCCCTGCCTACTTATATCCTGATCGGAAAAAATTTTATGTAGCTTGTTGCGGAATATTCCTTTGATAAGCAACGATAAGGGATACAGCCAGGAGACAATTGTGGTTTACCCCGAAACTACCTGCGGGTAGTTTTAATAGGTAGTCGGTAACCAAGTGAGAATGATCTAAGATTGAATTTCCTTACTTGACCCTCTTCCTGTGAAAATTATTTGAAAGCTATTCTTGTTTCCGTGTCATTCTGCGCGGTTATTTTAAGGACGCCACGTCATTGGTCGGTAAGAATAGCGTCATGTAATTTTAAACTCGGCGGGTAATTCATTTCACTGCCGATCACGCACAAAAAGCAACATGGCGTACGAACTTGGTATTACTCCCGGGGGGGGCACTTGGGTATTTTTTGGGTGGGTATGTGCCGCCCGGGACTCCAAATTGGTACCCCGTTCTAGAAAAAATTTCCCCTAAAATTGATACCCCGTTCTAGAATTCGCCCTAAAACTGATACCCCGTTCTAGAAATGGGCCAATTTTTTATACTCCGTTCTAGGGTGCAACAAGAGTACAACGGTTTGCTTGTTAACGCATTGAACCGTATTTTTAAAAGCAATCTGTCCTTGAATACTTTCAGTGGCTGCTTACAAAAGCGGAGCTTTCGTGCGTTCGAAATATTATACCCCGTTCTAGAAAACGCCTCTGAAATGGATACCCCGTTCTAAATCAGGAGCTTCAAAATCACGACCCCTTTGGGCGGCACATACCCGTATAGGTAATGTATGGGAGTACCCCCCCCGGGGTATTACTTGACCGGAACCAATACAAATTCCACCCTCACCGAACCCTCAAAGCTGCGTTTTTCCTTTGACAAAAACAAGGCGAAAGAGACTCTCACCTTGCCGCCCGTTGGAGGGCGGGGCGAAGAACCGTACGTTTTGTATGACTATTTTGTCGTTTCGTTTCGCGAGAATTAATAAACTCGACCGCGCGAAATATCACATGACATTGCTTTTATTCCATCCTAAGGGAAAAGCCCTGAGGAGGGAGCTGACCCATGGAAAGATGGCGGGTATCGTCCCGGGGGGATACGTCCTTATTTAAGCCATATTTGTATGTGCCACTCCAAAGGGTAGGGTTTTGCGCCGTTTCTGTCTGAAAACGCGTCTAGACTTTGCCCATTTTTGTCGATTTGGAATCAGGTATGGGCTTCGAGGGACCTACGGGAGCATATTTGTCGTTTTAATTCCAACAGATTAAGAAAGAAAGAGAGTATGCGAATTAAATGAATTTTAAGAAATCTTCTTTATTGGCTTTCTAATCTAAGTAATGATGACATAATTTATTACTTAGAGGCCAGGTCTGAAAACGGGTATACGCAGGCCTCCTGGTATACGCTATTTGCACGTCTCTCATAATGCACCTTTTTTGCCTCCCCAAATTTTGCACAACCTTTTTTTTCATTCCTCCCGGGTATTACAGCCAGTTCAGGAGCCCAAAATTTTGGAGGGCGCGTAAATAAGGTGCATTATGGGAGATGAGCAAGTGGCGTATTGATTTTAAAGGCCAAGTCTTAAAACAGCGGTGAAAAATGACATCAAAGGGTCATGATTTGGAGAACCGGGCGGCACATCCCCACCAAAAATTCCTAAGTGTACCCCCTGGGGTATCGTCAGTAAGGTCTAATGAATATAGAGCATAACATGTACAATTACTGAAGAAAAACCCATTATAGGACATCACACTATTGGATGTTTAACTTTATTAACTTAATTGGAGGCCAATAGTACAGGTTTAATACCTTCAAGCTCCTTCAGACTTTAACAGCTAGCCAATCATATCAGAGTAAGCAAAAAGCAATATTCAACAGCTTGGTAGACGTATATACTGAAACTTGTTGATTGCGGCAGAACACAGTTACAAGAGAACGTTTACAGTCATAGCAGGTCAAGTTTACCCCCAAATATTACACTGATGAATCGATTATTTGAAAAAGTTTTCCGCAACCTGTATCAAATTCACCACCGCATAATGAGCTGTGAATTTTGGCTAGGGCCTCCTAATATTCGCTCGGAGTGAAAAATCTTTAAATGAATAACATTACTTTGAATACATTTACGTCAAATTCAAGAAATAAATGCGTTTCGGGGATTTGCGCATGAGCCCCCATCCCACCCCCAACATCCCTCTTACGTTAGCATCCTCCTCTTGGAAGGGATATAAAGGGAAAGGGGAACGGGAAATTAGGGCGCGCAAGAGCGTGAGGGGCTCTTCCCCCTCCTTGCACACCCCTCTCACTCTTCCTCACGCTTGAATTCCCCTTCGACTTCCCAACTTAACTGACAAAAGACTAGTTATAGTTATTTACAGGAGTTTCATTGTTTGAATTTTTAATACAGCGACGCGATGATTACAACTAAAATCGATAAAACGAAACGATACAGTACCGTATGCTGTTATCATATATAACAAATAATTATAAGTCTTAACATGAAAAATCGAAGAAGAACCACTAGACTGCAAAACAGTCGGTTTCTGTTTATTTTTCTCAAAAACGGTTTTGCAAGGCCCGAAGCACGGGCGTGATACTTTCGCGTGAAAAAATGGGCCAGGACATATGTGGCGAGCCTTGCCGCGGCAAAACCTCCGCGTCTCTAAAAAGTCTTGCACGCCGTTTTCACCCTCACTCCAGCTAGACCTTTCCTTTGACCACTATCGCGCGCGCGCGCACGTTGTCAACTTAGGCAAAATACAGTCTATGAAAACCACTTTCGCCTGATTGAGGACTCGCCGTGAGCAGCGGTTTCAATTTTTTGGTCATATGGTTGTGAGGCGTTTGCGTTCGCATATATATGAGTATTTTCCAGTTATTTAAAAGGACGTTTTGTTCAATCTTCCTGCGTTTCATACTTTCTCTTTCTCGTCCAAAGTGCGATTTAGCGAGCCCTCCTTGTCGACCGTCAGATAACCTTCCTCTTTAAAATCCGAAGTTTGGGGGCAACTCTCTAACATCATTGGTAAAACATGTTCATGCTCTATGGAGTTTACATGACGATCAAAACAAGAGTCCAAAAGTTGCGTCGGTGAAGTATGTTCTTTTTTCAAATCTTCGCTGTATGTACACTTAGTCTCGTGCTCGCGCGTGTTCGCGTCGAAATATTCGCCGTATGTATCATTAAGCGCGTGCTCGCGCGAGATGTCACACACAGATGGATGGTGTCTTCTAATAGTGACGTCATAACCTGACTTCCGGAGTCGTTCAAGTCGCTTCATTTCTTCCTTGTTTTCGATAAGGTATACATCCTTTATAGTGTCTCTAAAACTGACTCTTTTGGCTGCTGCCATCTCCATACTTCCAAAAGGCACTGTTCGCAAATTTTTTTTCTCCTCGTAATCAGAATTATCCGAGCCATACATTTCGTGCCACTTTCGGTTCGCTTCTTCCAACATTTGTGCCTTCTTTTTCTTTTTCTTGCCCGCCTTTTTTACTTTCCAGCGTTTAAGTGACCTTTGTTTGAGATCTCCAAACACAAGAGGCTCTTGCTGTGTGTCATTCTGACCACTGGAAGACTGCGTCTTTGCTGTAAAAGAGTATAGAAGAAAAATCAACGCCGAGAGGAGAGCAACGATGAGGATGACCATCGCTATTGCTGCCAGCGTACGAAGATCAAGTCCCTCTGTTTTTGGCTTTGGTGGCTGCAAGCGTTCTCCAAAGAGCCAATTGAAAATGTTCATCGCCTTGATCCTTGAGCAAGATATTAATTCAGAAAAGAACAATTGCTAAAATAATGATTGGACGTCAACTTCGTCTATTTGCGTCTCTGCCCATTTGTAGTTTTTATATTCCAAGTAACGCAAAGACACGAACTAAGACAACTAAAGAAAGACATCGATGCATCAATCTGAGTTTAGCGCAGTACGCGTACGAGTAGAATGTCTTAGCACGGATATGACAGAAGTTGATTAAGTAATAATTGATTTGGTATAATTAATTAAGTGCTTAACGTCATAAATGTGCTGCATAATTGTACAACTTTTGGTCTCATCAAAAGTCGCAATTATATATTGCATTATTTTCGTCCTTCTGGTCCTTTCTTTTTCTTTTCTGTAGCAGTGCCCACAACAAATTTTGAGTGTGCTTGTTGACTTTCTGCCGTAGTAAATAACGGAGACTACCAAATGATCGACAGTATTACGGCGTTTCCTTCGGTATGAAGGCTTTCCATTTTTAAATAAAGATATTTCTTTACGCTCAACAGTATGCGATGCTTTTATGCGCAGAAATCCTGTCGAACCGTCCTGAACTAGATATATAGTGAGAAGTACCATAGGCGCATCGAGACACCCAAGGCTGAAGGCTGAGCCTAGCCCAGAACACCCTAAGTTAGAACGAAATTTGCAATTTCTACCCCTAAGCGAGACGAAGGGTATCCCGACTATCCCCTACACCGGTGATATGGGAGCCCTCCCCAGGGGTGGGGGGGGGGGGAGGAAAGGTCCGTTCACTTCTCATGCGCCTGCTACGCAGCCTATCCCCTTCGGTAATTTTAGGACCCTTCACGATCTGAGTTGTCAGGGCTGATCGCTGATTAGTCTGAAATGTCAGTCGTCTCCTCCCCCTAACTAACCTGTTGGGGGCGGATTAGGACCCGGGGGAAACTTTAGGAATTTCTGGTGGGGATGTGCCGCTGGTACCCTGGACCTTAACTTATACCAGAGCTAGTTCAGCTGAATTTTGGTACCCTATGCTAGAGTAAACTACCCAAATCCCCCCTATCCTAGAGTAGCTGTTTTCCAGAAACTATTGAGGTCACTAGCACAGTCTAGCCAAACAAAACCTTATACCACAATCCCTAGTCTAGATAAAATCTTCAACCAACTGATCAGTTTACTGAAAAATGATACCCTATTCTAGACCCAAACGCTCTGATTTATATACCCTATCCTAGAGAAAATAGCTTGAAAACCATACCCTTCACAGCGGCACATACCTATATACCCCATAAATGGCAGTACCCCCCCCCCCCCCCCCCCGCGGATTAGGGAGAGGAGTCGACGACTGACAATTCAGACTAATCGCTGATTATCGCGACGGCACCGCTCTCTCGGCGAAATGGCAGCTGAGGAATGAGCGCAGAAATTCCATACTGATGACATGTTACTACCAAGATCTGCGCGCGAAGTGCTTCTGATTTGTTGAAGCAAATTACCCAAGCGCCACGACCAATAGACCTTTTTACCGATATGGCATGAATTCTTTAATTCGATTTAAGGAGCATCATAGGATGCCCAGGGGGCATGAGCACATTTCGTTTGTATTTTCTAGCGCTTTTCGGGTGTAGTAGGAACACTACCTAGAGGCTGGGTGGTTACACAGTCAGGACAAGCATTGCGCTCTTTCCTACTATCACTTTAAAAAACGCCTGCTACGCAAGCTACATTTTGCGAGAAAACCAGTGGTCGGCTGTTTTCACAGGCTAAATGATTGCGGGAACTGTTTTTGGTGATCGATTGATAGGCACGTTATTTTCTTGGCAATCGTATACTCTGGGAAACCTTTTTACAAATTTTATCGACATGCTCTGAGAGAACGATTAGGACGGTTTTTTTTGTCTGGCAGGACGGGGAAATGGACTCCGAACCGAGATCATTATAAACCTGATTAGACCAATAATATGGTTCTCGTACGAGGCTTACGGGCCGCCAGGATCGTAAACTCGTGGGGCCATAAAAGGATATCGGCCATGAACGGCGCCCGTAAGAATATAATTGACTTTGTGATATTCAGATGTTGGTACAAAGTGTCTGATAAAACAGGTTCTTAGCTTGCCACTTTTTAAAATATATGCACGTGATGTTAATTGCGGTCTATTGTAGTGCAAAGTCTTCCGACCCTCGCCCGACTTATCACGTGTTTACTCAGGTTATGTGGGCATACACAAAACATTCATGCGTTTATCTTACGTTTTGGTCCATAATTTAGTCAGTGGTTCACGAAATGCTGCAAAAACGCAATTGAAACGGTGGGGTAAAATAAAAGGAGGACAATTTTTCGCTTACGAGGCACGAGGGAAGAGATTTCCGCTCTCCCTCACCGTACCCGGGAGAGGACCAAAGGACTTCCTTCCTCGACCCAGTTTTCTCTCGAATGGTATAAGAACCTGTGCGAACTGAAAGTGAGAGAGATTTTTGATGGACTGTAAGTGTTGTCATTCTCCTTTTTGAATGGAACCGTAACTTAGAAAATGGGCTCAACTTGGAAGACATAGAGGCGGCATTGGACAATGAACTATTTTGGTCGGTTGGTGTCGAACGTCCGTGGTTTTTACAGCGAGATAAACTCCGCTACTCTCACCGGCGCCATCGATGTTGTGGTCGTTCGCCGTGAGGATGGTTCGTTCATTGGTTCTCCGTTCCACGTTAGATTCGGAAAACTTGGCGTTCTCCGTAGTCGGGAGAAGATCGTGAGTTGTTTTATTTACCTTTTATATTCAAATCCTTCTGTTTACATCGTTCAGGAAAATATATTGGAATTACTTGATTGATCTCAAGATCGATACGCAGTGCAGTTACTGTAAACGTAAATATTGGTGAGAAAACAAGACAATCCTCCTGCTAACTGTTCGAGTTTTTGAGCATTAACAAGGTCACAAATTTCTCTCTTCTGATACTATTTACTAGCCTATACCTTCTTAAAATATTTCTTTATTGTTTTTCCTCAAAACCTAAATATCCCAAGGGTTAAAGACACAGCTTTTTGGACTATTAATCGCGTCATCGACTCAATTTGTCGCTTTCCTCAGTGTCAACTATCTGCGGAAGACTTTGTTGATTATCGTCAGAAAATCGAAAGACTTTTGTCTTCTTTTAAAGCAATTACACGGTTTCAAGTATAAGAATGTAAGATTTGGGATCAAATTTAAGTGCATGGAGGACACGAAGTACGTTGTACGCTATTGAGAATGAATGAATCATTACATTTATCTATCGTCGTCAATCATTCACTCAATCCTTCAATCACGCTTATTTTCACTTATAAACTTACGGCCGTTGGAAATTTTGTTGTGCAACGTATTTTCATTTCATAACGTATTATAAAAGCAGAAAAATAGAAGTAAATAATTAAAATATAAAGCAGTGGTAAACATTCTGTAAGTAATATTTTAGAATGTTGGCTGCAAAGCGTCTCAGATCTAAACCGAAAACCCAACATTTTGTTTTTGTTGTTAAGCAATATAGCAAATGTAGATGTTCGTCGGCTGAATTGTATGACTTTATTTTATTTTCACAATTATTCCCTAATCCTTCCTATTTTCCATGGACGTTTTCCCTTTGTGTTTGCTCAACTTCGAATCCTTTAAATCTATTGGTTATTGAAATGACACCACCAAGTACACACCCCCAAGAAGTCATTGTGTTCAATGAAGAATCTTTAGAATGCTTTGGAGTTCAGTTGTCCATGAAATTTAACAAAACAGCAGAAAGTAAACTTGCTTTGTCCTTGTGGTTTTATGAATGCCAAAGAATACATTGGGGAACGTCATAGCAGAAAGAAATATGAGATATACAAGGCCATGACGTATGCAGTCACAGTGAGCAGTTGCCAGCTAGCTAATTGAGGAAATGTTTATTTTGTATAATCAAGAATTAAATCTACCTGATTTACTTCTTAGGCAAGCTTATTTACTAATTTAACAATTTATTGGATGAGGCTGAGTATCATCTGAAGAATTATGGAGATCGAGGAGTAATCGGTCTTGGCAGACTCCCTCAAAGATCTCAAAAATTCTTCAGATGATACAAAAGCCGAATTCAATAATAATTGTTTTGTTATTCATTCAAAATAATTCCTAGTTGAAAAACAGGCTTATACATGCTTAGCTTACCTCCATGGATGTTAAGTTCATTTTTAATTGACTGTTAATCAGCATGTTTGGGAGATATAATTGTTGTTCAGTATTGCAAATATTCTCCAAATAGCAAATGTCATCCGTTGAGTTGTCTTCTTGCTGTTCTTGCTATGTTTTTAGGCAATGGTTTGCTTATTTCTTCCCATAAAACTAGCCTGTGTAGCAAGTGTTTCCGCGCAACTTCATCAAGAAAGTTGGGACAAGAGCAAAAAAAAAAAGAATTACAGGGGAGGGTGAGGACGAGGGGAAAGAAGGATCCTCTTCTTCCCTTCCCCTCTCCCTTCCACCTTTTTTTTGGCTCCTGCTCTAACTTTCGTGCAATAACTCGATTGGAAACAATTGCTACGCGGGCCATCATAAAACGAGTGAAATGTTCCACCATTTTGTACTCACTACCAAAACAACTCAACCTCAGGTCTTCCCAGGTCTTCTTGGTTAACTGTTCAGTTTTCTGGGAATTATCCTGCTTGACTGATATCATTTTTCACTTATCCCAAAATTCTTCCAAATTTGGTTGACAGTAGCTGGTTTTGATGAATTATGCTGTGGGGTTTTAGCCAATCAGGAATGGAGAAATATTTTGAATAAATAATAATTATTGTTATACTTTTATAAATAATATAAACAAGGCTATACCAGCCTGTACTTAGCAATGGATAATCTGGGTGTATATTTCATCCCCCTGTTACAATCATCACAGTAAGAATTAAACAGAGGGTGAGCTTCTTTTCTAATCTCATTCATTCTCTTATAATAATTGAAATCCAAACACTGTTTCTCCATATTATATTTTGGTAATTTGCAAATTAATTGATTTTATGTTGCTTTCAAGATGGTGTGTGGTTTTCTTTTTCTGTTAAACAATTTTCCTCTGCAGAGTTTGGAATATGCAACATAAAGCTGCGTATAGCTGATAAGATCAAAGCACACTGATGACTTGCCTAGACCCTTGCTTATTGGGCAAGTGAGCTTGTCCCGAACTACCTGACAGACCTTTCTCTGAGCCCTGTGAATGATCCTTTATGAACAAATAATAATTTTGTTTGTTCTTTTTTTGTGACAGGTTGATATAGAGATCAATGGCGAGCCAGTTGAGCTTCAGATGAAACTTGGTGAGGCTGGTGAAGCTTTCTTTGTGGAAGAAATTGAAAATGATATATCCGACAGTCTAAGCACATCTCCGCTGCCCTCTGCTGAGACTCTCAAAGATGCCAAAAAAGATCACGGAGCCTCATGTGAGGTAAGCTTTGACGTGTTTTAGAGTTATAGTTTTATACTCTGAATTCCCAGCACTGAGCAGGGTGTGAGGTATGTGATTTCATCCAACGGACAGTATAGATTCTGCACTGTCACTAGAGAGCTTTAGATTTTAGGATGAAAACAAGTACGAGTAGGACATTTAACTTAAAGTTTTTGCACGTGTTTCTAAAAAAAAAGACACCCCGGAAAGCTTTATTTTACTTTTTTTTCACCAAAAAAGTTAGTACAGTTATTTATACTGAAGGAGTTTTAGCTCTCTCCTGATAGAAAACGATAAAACTGCTTACTTTTGATATTTTGTTTCCGCCACTACAACATTCTTGCTAAAACTCGTCGTAGAATGACGACGACTACTACATTTTCCAGCCAAAATGACGCTGGTTCATGTGTGAGCAATACTCGGTATTGAGAAAATCTTGTCCTCGTAGTCGTCCTTGTCTCAGAATCTAAAGCTCTCTTTTGAGATTTCAAGATGCTGCAGGCCATGGTTAAATTGTGGGGGGTCATGGATCCCTTATATGGCCTAGACGGGGGTGTTTCGCTGGACATGGTATGGTTTTTAACCTCTGTGTCCCAAACAGGGTGTATAATAAATTTTGTGCGAGTCTATCTGAAGGGTATTGCCTGGTCAATAATTATTAATTTGATCTGCAAGATAAATTTTGTTTGTACTCCAAGTTTACAAAAGCCTAGGCATATAACATGAATTTGCTCTACTGGAATTGCCAGTAAATGGCTTTAAAACAAGATGGTGTGCATTTTCTCCTTTGCCCTAAACAGGGTATTAAAATTAAAGGTGTTGTCCTAAATAGGAAATTTTTAGGAAAATTATTGTTCTAAACAGTGACAGGGTTACAAACCCCCAGTGGCTCACCTGTACCCAAATATTGGTCAAGTACCCCCTGATGTGTATGCAATTAGGTAGGTGAGGGATTGAATAGCCATGAAGATCTTCTGGTTCTTTTTCCTTGTGCTTCCAATAAGAGTCACTGAGGGGTCATACTCATAGTAGCCAAGATCCTTGATGCCCACCTCTTGCACGGAGGAGGTCTGTCATCCCTGTTGGGAATTGGCTGATATTTCATGAACGATCCTTGCAATAATCAGAATGATCCACCTGTTAGATCAGCAGTTACAATAATGGGATTAAAATCTCTCTAAAAGAATTCCGTTTAGAAAGGCGGCTGTATTGTACATGTGTTTTAGAACATGACAAAAACTTAGATTCACTGGTAAGTGTACTGATGTTGAATGACATCAATATTTTTTCTGCTTAGGTGAGTGAAAGCAACTCAGCTGTCAGCACAGAAAATAGCCACACTACAACACAAGAAAATGTAGAAAAGGAGTCTTGTACAACATCCATCTCAGGAAAAGAACAAAATGTGGATCAAGAAAAAGAGGGTGCATTATCACAAGAAACTGCAGGAAATGACAGCGGAACAGATGAAAGAACTGTTGATCAGGCCATTAAAACGGAAAATGAAAAATCAAAGGATGACAATCACAGTGATCCTGAAACTGGGGAACTTGAGGAGTCACTGTTGTTATCAGTTAAAGAGCCAACTGGTGATTTTACTGACGACAGAAAGATTTCTTTTGAGGAAGTTTTGTCAGAACCCGAAACCACAGCAGAGGTAGGATCAGTTGAATTCCTTATTGCACTGAGGAGGTCTGTCATTACTGTTGCGAATTGGCTGAGATTTCATGAATGATCATTGCAAATAATCAGAATGATCCACCTGTTAGATCAGCAGTTACAATAATGGGAAAGTCTCTTTATAGGAATTCCATTTAGAATGGCTGCTGTATTGTACATGTGTTCAAAAGAACATGACAAAAACTTAGAAATGTGTCAGAAAAGAAGCATGAGTGGATTCAACCTGCATAGAGTTCCAGTAGCTCAGTAGAACTTGGAGGGTTGTGAATTTGATTCTCAGCTGGAGCTCAGAATTTTTTTCTGTGCGTTTTGGGGGGTGATCAGATTCTCTCTCATCTTTAATCTGATGTTTATTTGCCGTCAAAAAAATTTGTTTTTCCCTGATATATATATATATATATATTTATTCATATAGTAACATAGATAACATGGGGAAAATGTTATCAGTTTTGAGCGACAGAGATTGTTGCATCCATTTTTTATTGATTTCAGGCAACACTTGATGGACCTTCGTCCAAGTCAGATAGTATCCCAATCCCAGTGCGACGACTAGTTGATCCACAGGACTGCCTGTCTGACAGTGAAACTATGGTATGAAAATAATGTTACTACTGTAACCGTAGGTAGTAAAAGATTGAACTCAGTTTCCTTGCTACATTGGACTATCCCATCAGACAATTGAATTTATTTTTTATAAATATATTTCTGTAATGGAGGCTAGTAATTCCATTGTTTTTTTGGTTACATATTTGAGCTGTATCTGAAGTCATGAAATCTTGCTATAGCACATTATGTTATTGTTGTGATTGAACCAGGGCTCGAAAAAAGGCTCGGACAAGAAGATTTCTTTGTCTAAGAATTAATCATTAACTAAGGCAAGCAAGAAATGTCCCCAGGCAAGGAAAATGTGAGAGCTTCTTCCTCAAAGGACAAGCTGGAAAATAATCTTGAAGGTTTTTTTTCAAGCCCTGTTGAACATCTACA